GGGGGGGGGGGGGGGGGGGGTTATTTCTTGAGCCAACATCTCCCTCTTTTTGGGCACATCCTATTCATGGACAGATTTTTCTTCAACCGTATGAAAAAGTGTGAGATATTGAGAAAAAAAAACACTTCCACAATAAAAATGCAGAATAAGGACGAACCTGTGATCAAGACCACTTTGTCTTCGAGACCTTCGTATCTAGCTTTCGGTGACCAGCTCATATCTCGATCCGTAGTGAAAATAATTTTTTTTTCAATATTCAGTATGTATAAAGATTTTTATCACGCCCCAACTTGAATACATAAAGGTAAAAAAAAAAAAAAACTCTGAGCCTTCTCACTCCAGCGCCATGTGCAGAAGGACTGAATATATATACTCATGAAACAATAACCTTCCACCCAAGTTGTATATGCAGTACTGTATACATATATACTGTAAATTGTAAGACGAAACGAACGCATTCGTCCTCAGACATCGCACAAAAACACGCACAAACTTCTTTGATCTCCAGCATCATGCAGATCGTAGCTTAATAAAACTTTGTATAACGTTGGGGCAAGGTTTGATTTTGTTTGTCTCAAACGCCAAGTCATCATCCTTCTTGAATGTCTGATTAATATAATAAAGAAAGGAAAATAAACACGATGCACATCAGGAGCTTTACAGTACTACTTTAAAAAAAAAATACATGGACGATTGTATACGTATGTAGACGGCGTATTATTGTATCCTTGCCTTCATTATTTATAGAAGTCATTCATGCTGAGCGCACGTATATGGAGATAAGAATCACAAGAATTTTTAAAATACTGTACATATTAATGATGGATTACGGGCATACTCTTATATACTGTATTTTATGCTATGTATTTCACTTCTGTGGCTGAAGTAAGTATTATTTCATTTGTCATATTTAGATATACGCAGAGTACAATTTTTTTCCACAAATAAAGCCATACAGGCGGCAGAACAATTAAAATGTTGACAAAAATATTATTTATTTTCATGCCCTGTATAATACTCATACTATTGCTAATATATTATACATATACCGATCGAAATAAATATAGGTTATGAAACGTAGGATAAATAACATTCAAGATCGTTTAGAAGAGTTATACATACTATATAATATATACTGTAGATGATTCTATGATCTTTTTTGAACCATGTCCAATTTCAATGATATTATGATTCATCAATTCATCATTGACGCATGTCTAACACCCCTGGGTGATTCTGAATTAATCACCCAGGGTACAGGAATGTACTGTATTATGATTTATGCTTGAATATCAGAACTTTCCTCATTATCATCAAGTAATTTAGAGCAGAATAGAACTATATATATACAGTATACATCAGATATGGTATCTGAAGTATTTTAAATTGTTTTATAAACGGCTGTATTCCTGTATAATCCGTACGTTTCAAGTACGTTTCAGTACGTTTCAAGAACCCCCCCCCCCGCCAAAATAAATTTGAAAAATCGGTAATGAAAGCTTTATCGTCAATATAATTTTCTCGATGGAACAGTTTCCTTCTTCTGTTCGTGTTCGATTTAAATACAGCTAGGATAACAATATAGTACTGTATGAAACAGATCCGCTTTCAAGCCAATTCAGATCAAAATCAGATTTCGCTTTTATCGAAACCAGCGTTTTTCAAAGAAATCTGATATGACATGCTTCATAATATGACAGTAAAATGCGGAAAACTTGTTTACTTGTGTCACAACTCACTTCCGGATGGAATTGCAGTTTCGCTTGATTACAAGCGACATCTAAGAAATATATTATAAAAAACATTTCGGCTGTTCTTCATACCTACCCACGAAATTCCACCAGTTGGAGCGGGCGTGTATTTCGATCTGTCTCTCACGAGTGAAAGTTGGCAGTTGCAATTATTTCGCGCAGATTTTTTCTCGCGAACTGGATTGTCCGAGAAGAGCGATCATGAGATTTTGTGATGCGTGTTTCCTCTCCTATTACGTGACTTCCGCATTGTGATGTTCTTGAGTAGATCTGTTTGGTATCGAGTGATGTTTCCCCTTGATGACCGTTTCTCTTACTTGATGAAGAGTTGAGCCTCGCGGTGTCGGTGAAACTTCGTTAAATTTGTCCAGGCCTTCAACAGCGTATTTATAACGACGGGAATATTCGAACTAGCTCAAAATTATGCTCTTGTGACTATTTTTTCTTTGCGAAGGCTTGCTGTGCGAATTCTGTTGATGTCGAAACCGTTCCATGTGAAGCATTCTGTGATGACTGCAAGTCTTGCTTCATTTCAGATGGAGGACTACAACTTGTCGTGGCAGTGGCATAGCCAAGAAACGCTGAAATCTTTCGAAGTACTTCGAAAATCGGAGACGCATACGGATGCAGTTCTGTATTGTGAAAATGATGTCATCCGCGCGCATAAGGTTATACTCGCGGCGTGTTCCGCCTACTTTCATCGAGCATTAGCGCAAATACACGAGACATCTCGCTACACGGTCATTCTCCTGCCCAAAATCAACGCGAACCTACTACGACTCGCGCTCGATTTCATGTACCTGGGGAAAGTGACTGTCCCGAGCGATAAGCTTGAATCTTTTATGGAGCTGTCCGCATTTCTGGAGATCCGCGGACTGGAAGGCCTCGCGGTGAAGACCGCTGCCGAAAAGGCGAAACGTTGCGAGGCCGCTGGGAAACCGGTTTCCGTGGACGCAGTTCCTGTTCCTGTTTCCTCGCTCAGTGCAATGATTCCGACGTCGGCCGGATCCTCCCTTGTGCCAATCGTCGTCCCAAGTTTCACGGTATTCAAGGCCTCTGGGAATGTCGTCAAAACGGAGCATCGAGAGGTTGGTTCCATTTTGTGTTTCATGCTACGTAGCTGAGATCTGCCTTTTTTCCGCTTTCTACGTGAGTGTGTTTCCTTACGCTGTTCCTGGGTAAAATATTGAATACCCCGAGTTGGTTCGACTTAACTGAAAGGGGGATGATGCCTCACACTAACTCCAGCATTTCAGAAGGCATGTACCTGACGAGTGGTGGAACGAAAACGTGAAAACTGTATTGCTGGTCAAATTTCGTCATTTTTGTCGATTACGAATGCATTTTCCGCACATCACTCACCAAATGATGTAGCATGTAGTCTCATGGAAGTTTTTTTCATTATTCGACAGAATGAAGAAGGTGACATGCAGTCGATAGTCAGCGATCAGTTTGCAGAAAGCGACTCGGCGGGAGCAGCTGAAGCTTCAACGGATTGCGAGATGGGAGATGGATTCAACGAAGACTCGGGTACGAACGGGGATTCGAAACCCGCTGTTCTTGCCGCTGCGGTCGAAGATGGTACGTCGATGTCGGAAGACATTTGCCGAGGTTCTCAAGACTACCCTGCTCAAATACCCGCCGTGATCGTTCAGTCCGTAAGTATTGTATTTTGGCTTAATGTTGCGTCGCTGTTCAAAAGTTGTATGACAACTCTTGCTTCTCTCATCATTCTTTAAATGTTTGCATATTCAGCTTTTGTAGAGCCCCGATTTCCGCGACGTAGTTTCAGAGATCCTTGGATGATAGTGTCCTTGGATGTCCTGTTGGAATTGAATTTAAGTCGAGTTTTGCAGGTTCTGAAGCAATCCTTTGAAAAGAACTTAAGACAGACTATTTTGACAAGAAAGCTGCATTTTAGTGTTGTAAAATCGATTCTGCCTCCGAGCGGAAGACAGAAAAAAAAACGTGCGATCATCAGAATCCGTGAAATCTTCGTTGAGAATCTCAATCTTTGTGACTTGAAAGTCCCAAGCAATGACTGTGTGGAATTCCCGTTTCACTCACGGTTTCCCGTTAAACTGTCCATAGCCTGAGATGCGTCCCTTATTCGCGAATTTGGTATGAATACATGGCTGTACTAGTGTTGAGTAACAACATGTCAGGAACAAAGAATTATAGGGTATTGTGATCGGTGATATTCTGGTCCTCGAATTAAATTTAAAAGGGTTTGACTGGAACGAACTTGGAGGCGAGGGTTATTTTTATTCAATTAATCTTCCACTTCCCTTGAAAATACTTCCAGTTAAATTTTTATTGCTCTCTTCCCTGCGTCGATAAAATACTAGCCAAAATTCTTCTAGAAAATTTTAATTTTGTATAGGTTTGCTGGGGAACGCCTTCAATTCAGTTTTTAATGCACTGTTTCTAAGAGAATGCAGATAGGGGCTTGAAAATAATTCTACATATGGAGGTATTTAACTAGTAGAGGTTTGAGTTATCGAGGTTTTACTGAGTTTGATTTTTGTAGGAAGCGTTGCGAAAATCTGGAAGATTCGTTTGGCAAGGGAAAATAAGGAATCCAGCGGCTGGGCCAAATTCTTTGTGCGTTGCGTATTTCTGCGGGCTCTGCGGCTACCACAACAAGCACCGATCGAAGGTGCTGCGACACGAGACGACTCATACAGGTGAACGCCCGCATTCCTGCTCTCTCTGTCCGTCGACATTCGGACGCAAAGAGCACTTGCGAGTGCATATGATGAATGTGCACCAGCATGTCGAAGCGGTCACTAACTAAGTGGGTATACATTCAGCTAAAAATAAAAAAGACAAAATAGTTTAAGGAGGAGAAAAAATGGGGAGAGGCCGCGGATCTTGTTTCATTTCTTTTTTTTGATGGAACGCCTGGGTTTATTGTGTTAACCGGGCCTCGTGAGGGGCGATGAATGTGAGGATTGAAATGCAAGCTCAGGTTGTATTCTGACCTTTCTTTTTCCGGCCACCGAAACTACGCCTTTCGGTAGCAAAGCGTCGACGGGCAAACCCCCCGGGGACACGGTGAGAAACTCTTGGTGTGGCAAAAGTGGGTCGTGCTGCGTATTGTTTGTTTGTGTTATTTTTCTGTCATACCTCCGCGATTTTAGTTTGTTACATAGACGTCGCCTGGATTTTGTTGCTGATGGTAGGGTTATTTAGGCTCGAAATTGCGGCGACACATGCGTTACGTTTGGATTGCGATGGGGTGAAACAGACAAATTTAATTCTTTTTTTTTTTCGTGGGTGGAAACGTGTCTTTCAACTCGATCCTGGTTCATCGATTTATTTTATTTTATTTTGTGAGAGCGGGCGTGTGAGTGACTCCGTTTCTTGGTGATTAATTTAGAATTAGCAGGGTCAGCAAGTTCAAAACTATCGTGATTTCATTTTTCGTGGGCGGTGAGAATTTTTTGGACTTATTCTTCGTGCTTTGATGCAAAATTTGATGCTCGTTACCCGAACGATTTTGTTCTTCGTTGCCCACGTGCCATGTTTTCGAGCTATTTTCGAACTGTTGTCCGCCGACGGGATGCTCCAAATCGATTAATTTAAACGTGTTTTCTGCCGAGTCTTCCCTTTATTTTTTTCCTCGCTATAGTTTTTTTTTATTTTCGGAAATTCTTGGGCTTGCGCAGTTTATATCCGCGTGATGTGTTTTGGCCAGTTACCGTAATTCAATCCTCACGAGAGTCCGACTGAGATAGATGTGGGAAACTTACTTGGATTCGGCATCATTCTTCGACGTTTTTCCCTTATTGTTGTTGCGTGTATCGTGTGGAAAGAAAAAAAAACAGAGGACTTTCATGGTCAATTAGACAAAGAAGCATTTGAGGCATTGAAGGATAAAGGGGGAAGGAACCTGTTTCATGCTTTGGTATTACGTTTGTGTTTCCTTCCAAGCATGTGACAAAAAAAAGAAGAAAAAACCCTTTATTTGTTTCACGCGAGGTTTAAGCTTTTCGGCGTTTTTTGATCTCAGCATTTGAATGAATCCCAGGAAATACTACGAGATTTGTGGGAAAGAAAGAGTCAGTTGAACTTCACTAAGTCCATTTTTTTAAGCATTAATCCTGAACCGGAGTCATTTTGTGATGCATGTTTCGATCTTTACAGGCAATGATGGGTGAAAAAGTGCAAAGTGATAATAGAACGTTCGTTGCAGTGATTCACGGCGTCGTGGCATTGCAAAAAATCTATCCGTTTTACGAAAATGGGGATTTCTGTGATGTGACGCTGGTGTGTAATGGGGTCTGCTTCGATGTCCACGCTGTGCTTTTGGCTGCACAGAGTCGCTATTTCTACGAGTAACGTATCAGTTCCACTTCCTTTTCTTTCGAATAAGGTTCCCTTTTTATTTTTAAATTTGATTGTAGGAAGAAATCAACATTTTTCATCTTCTAAACGTTACTGGAATTCCATTGGTTTTAATGTGTTGGGGACATCTGTGTAATGCCGAGTTCCAGTTTGGAGAAGTGTAGTTTTTTTGAAGTTACACTCCTGTTCATGAAAAAGTAATGGACTCTAAAATGTTGGGATTTTCGTTTTTCCAAATTTGACAATCAACTACAGGATATAATCCAATTTTGCTGAGCCTTTCAAAATACTGTATAACGTATTCATAAATTAAGCAAGGGGCCGATGGAAGTAATTTACGTCCACCTGTAGGAGTACTGTCGGAGTATTACTCCTGGAGAAGCACAGGACAATCCCCATAGTTGTCATCACATAAAAAAATTATCATCACATTCGACGAAGGGTATATTTTTTGGTCTGGTATAGCAGGCGCAAGAAATGAGGGTTTGAGCTCAAATTTAGCTTTTGAAAGGTCAATTTTGGTATTGACGAGATCTTGGAACTGCAACAAATTCAAACGCACCCCCAATAAAACATGCTTATAATGAGCGGTCGATTTGTATGAGTCCTTTTTATCGGAGACGCAATACTTAAAATGCAACACCATACACATACTCTATGGCTAGCTGTGGTGTGTCTTATGTACAGTATGTCCTTTTTTCATAAAATTTCTGATAAACTGAAATTTCGTTGGCTTCTTGTATGACTGCGAGACGTTGCAGTATTACAGGATTTATAAATTAAGTAATTTTAATTTGTTCCTAACTTAACTTGCACTTCAAATTAAAACTTACTAGGTGTAACTCATAATTAGTCAGGACAAATTCATTAAACATGCTTCCGATTCGGATTCTATTAATGGTGCAATGATCAGCATTTTGAGGCCTTTTTTTCCCCCGGCAGGCTTTTCCGCAAGAATCCATGCAAGAGAGTGTTCCAGCTGACGGAGCTTTCTCCAGAGCATCTGCAAAAAACCCTGGAATTTTTCTACAGGGGTCGTGTGGAGGTTCCTTGCGCGGCAGTACCTGGTTTCGTCTTTACACTTAACAAGCTGGAAGTGACATCGATGCGTCTGAACGCGGAAGACACTGAGGCGCTAAAAATGGAGGCGGAGCGTTTCATTAAAGCCACGGACGACCTTCGAAAGCCGGTCATACAAAAGGGACGCCCCAGAGGCCGGCCGAGCGGACGTGGGGTCAGTCGTCGCAGTCAGCATAGATCGATGAACAGATCGGTGCATAAATCCTCGAAGAAAAAGAACGAGTCGGAAATGGCCGCCGACGGCGGCGTTGTGCCACCTGCGCGAATCGGGTACATTGAAGATCATACTCCTGGTGTCGCTGAGGCGACGGACAAGCCACGAGAACCGACGGACAAACCACGAGAACCGACGGATAAGCCACGAGAACCGACGGACAAGCCACGAGAACCGACGGAAGAGGCGAAGACGCCGCTAGAGCCCATGGAGACGGAAAAGCCGCAAAAAGTGATGGAAAATGAATACGAAGATGTTTATGCGTTTCCGAATGAAGAAACTATGATTGAAGGCGATTCGGAACCAGTCCAGGAGACAAGTGAGACCGTCGAAGAGGAATTTGTTGAGGGTGAAACTTGCGACATGGCTGCTGATATTGTTGAAACTCTAGCGCTGCCCGAACCCAAGGTATGAATTCCTGAATCGTTTCGGTAGACGTACAATTCCTATTATTCTTTTTCGTGTCTGTCCTTATAAGCTATCGAAAAACTTACTGTGCTGTGATACATTTGGGATTTTATTGCATTTTCGCCTTTTTTTCTCCGAGACGTCGAATTATTTTATTGTAAATAGATTACTTACAGTCGCGAGTACATCTAATACTCCTGATCACCTCAAGCATTTTTGAGTGAGAAGTTTTGTGTTATGTATTCTATTTTAGTTACATGGACAAATGTTATCTGGTTAGGTATATGTCACAATAGCATTTTAAAGCTTTTTAGTATGTGTTCGAGGGTTGATTGGTTCTGTTGCAATGCAGTACTGTATTCAAAGAGTAATGATTTTTCATATTTCCAGATTTTTCGAGCAATTGGTAAAAATAATCTGTTGTACTTGTGAAGCATCAATCCCGAGGCCTTCTTTTCCAAGTTTCACTTGAGATCCGTGTCGCTCAATTATTAGTCATTGATTTATGATTGAATGTAATTCTTTTTTCAGATTAGGGAATGTTTCGTCAAGCTGAAGCGATTGGCTTTCGATGAGATCCCTGCCGAAATCAAGGAATTAGAACCCACGAAGAAACGTCGGGTATCGGATAAATCTGAACCAGGTCCGGAAGTTCCAGTTCCCGACCTTGTCACTCAAGATGCGGTTCAGGTCGAAGAAGAAAAGCTGCCAGTGCCCGAAGAATTTGCTGAACGATGTATAGAGGCAACGCCAACTCCTCTCTTGCCAACGACGTCGGCACCAGTGGCGACGGTCACCCCACCACTGAAAACCATTACGGCGCCACTGACAACAATCACGACACCAGTAACGACAACGACGACACCAGTGCCGGCCATCACAATACCAGCAGTGAAGATCGTGACACCAGCACCGAAGATTACGACACCAGCACCGAAGATTACGACACCCGAGCCAATTGTCCCGACAATGTCGACACCACCGGCAATGGAGATCATGGTCACTACAGCGTCAGTGCCGTCGATAATTCCGTCTATTCCAATGATACCGACGGTAACTGCACCAATTGCGACGCCAGTGGCTCAAACTGTCGCTGTGAAAAGAGATAAGATAAAGACAGATACAGGTGTGACGCCGATTCCTCAAATCGTTCCACAAAAGAGAGAGAAAACGTTGACTGCAACGTACATGACGCCGGTTGCTCCAGCGGTCCCAGCGAAGAGAGAAAACCGTCACGTTCAGGACGTCACGTGGAAATTTGAATGCGTTACTCCAGTAAATACTGTGCTTTATGATTCTTTCTTTCAAGAATCGTTCGGATTTTTAATTGATGTTTATAGTCCATCATACTTTATCTTAATCCAATTAAACCTTGAAATTAAGGGTAATGCAAATTCTCATTCTCGGAGGTGTTTGTGAATGCTTCCATTTTACTTAAATAGCAATCGTGTGATTTTTTTGTTGCGCGCGTGGGCCATATCTATGGGGAAATGTGGTAAAAAAAATGATATACGGTTGAATATAAATCAGTTTATCGTTACTTTTTCGTTTTAAAAAGCCGATGACAATTTGCTCTCCAGATCGATGTTTGAGAATTTAACTTTATTTATGCAATCTAAAGTAAATTGAATGAAGACTTAATTGTTTTTCGTGGAAGATTTTTACTGAAATAAAATCGTTCCGGTTTTTTTTTTGCCAGCAGATGGATGTATTCTCGAGGAGATTGATGGGAAATCCGGTTCAAGGGTTTTCGTCTCACACCAGTGTTGCTTCGTTATCTTCTTCGGTTGAAAGGCATTTATCTCGAGGAGGTGCTGCTCCCCGTTCTGCTCCACCAAGCGATCCACGAAGAAGGCCGAACCCGAAAGTTTTAACAGTGTTCCCGAGGGCCAATCCTAGGCCATAAGCCCTGGCATTTTTTAAAACGTTGTATTTCATTCACGTTCGCTTCCTTTTTTCTTGAAAAAAAAAAGGAGGTCTCGAATGGATTGTGTAAAAAATAGGAAAACAAGGGGTAATTACTTGCGCTGCGAGAACATTCAAGTGGAGCTTTCAATTTGTTCTAAGCGCACGAATTTCATGTTGGGTTTAAAGCCGAAAAAAAATGACGGTTTATTTGAGCTATTTTACCTCTTGTGATGATGAAAAAACTGTGTGTGCAAATTTTTTTTATACCGATAATCACGGTTTGAACGAACTCGATGCGTATTTTTCGGCCGGTCAGTCTTTCGGGTAGAAGTTTCGGTGCTCTCACCTTTTTTTCCCAAGGTTGTCCCAACCGAAAAGTGATGATTGATTCCGAAATCAAGTTCAATTTATAATTTTGCTCACTGACGATTGATCTATTGTTGCAGGTGAATTACCGTTACAGGAAAAATGCTTAAGCGCGAATTCCGTCACTCGGGCCATGCGGAAGCCCTGGGCAAGGATTTGTGGGGATTGCGAGACCTGAACGTGACCACGGACTCGCAACTCATGAGTGGCACTGAGTGTTTTCCAGTCCACAGCTGCGTCCTGGCCTGCAATTCTCCATATTTCGAGAACTTTTTCCGAACCCAGAAAACGCCGAACCCGGTTTTTGTGCTGCCCAAGGCGGACCCGAAGGCTGTCATGCAGCTGTTGGAGTTCATGTACACGGGGGAGACGGAAGTGGAGATGGAACAACTGACTGAGTTTGGCGGACTGGCAAACCTGTTGGATGTGCCGGTATTGAAGGAATTGTGGGCTCGAGGAAAGATTGATGATGCCAGAGCGAGGGGCAGTGGGGAAAAGATCAATATGCCCTCGTCCCCGCTGCCGAAGAACCGGGCCAGGGGTGGCCCGAAAAGCAAGCGGAAGTCTGGTACCTCGGCACCGAAGAAGAAAGCTCGTCCGGAATCCAGTGAAAATCAGGTTTGTATATTCTGTAAATTCATGTTCTCGACAACAATTTTCTCTGTATGACGGATTTTTGTGGTCTCATAGGGTTCTGTAAAACTGAGTTTTTTTCTGATTCCCTGAATTTCGTTGTTGAGAGTTTCTTGTACATTTTTGAATTATTTCTTCCTGGTATAAAGAGTTTTCCGTATGAAGGCTTGTTCGGTCACCCCAAAATGGTTGCAACGGAATTCTTTGTTCAGGAATTTTGAGAAGTTCTGAAGTTTTTTTCAGGACGAATGCATATTTTTTGAATCTGCTTCTTCATGTAGCCCACGAACTTCGGTGACTTTTAGATGATCCAGCGTAATATCCTGCATTTAAATTTTGGCTGCTAGTGACATCTACGAGTGCTGGAACTTTTGAAATTACAGTTCAAAGGAAATGTTTCATATGAGTCTCAAATTGATCATTGCGTATGGTATTTATGTCGTGTATTAACGATGTACAGCATCTGCCGTAGAAATAAGAACTGCCATATGCGGTTGAAATGTTGAAAAATCTCTGCGCAGATACCGTGAATGTGGAAATACTTTTTGTTGAGAACTGCGCTGAGGAAAGAAAAAAATCGGAGTTTTGGCGAAAAAAATTTCAGAATCAATTTAGAATATAGTTTTGATTGAGTAAAACAGTGAGACGGACCAGCCGAGCAAATTTTATGCACTGTATTTTCTTAATGATGAATCATGCGTGTTGGTTATTTGAATTGATCGATACTGCGGTCATTTGATCATTTCTGCATGTCCACGTCCTTTTTCAGGAGGAATCAACGGCTAACACTTCACCTGACACTACCAACGCCACTATGAATGACTCACCTGCTACTGGGACAATCCTGGAAGTGGACGGATTGATGGTGAACATCCCTCTGCAATATGACGTGGTAAGAGAATTTTACCTTCCAAAGAAAATATTGAACTTTTCCTGGAAGAAGGTGGTAGAATGATCATTAAGCTCTGAATTCGTATCTAACGGCAGTAGTAAATATCTTACTAGGCTTGATACACGGTGCAGTATTTTCTGTATTCATCACATTTTTCCCTTGACAGTTGATAGAGTAATGTGTTGAGCAGCTTTAGAGGTTATTAGAATTGGACTGTCTGAAACGAAATTCAAGGGCCCAGAAAAAGTACGTTGTGCACAGAACCGTAAGGGTCCAAAACAAAATTTGTTACACAGAGAAAATCGTTGTAGACAAGATTGTTGTAGACTGTAGAGAGTCCACCTGCATCTCTGAAATTCAGAGAAGTAGTCTTCTGAAATCCGCGTTGTTACGTACTAAACAGGCATTGAATAATGAAAAAACAGCGATCACTTTTAGAGAACTTAATATGCAATGATGGATGAATAGTTATTTTTTTAGTGTTCAGTTGTTGAATACATTTTTTCGGATGCGTTCTTCCTTCTGCTGCAGACGACGGTGCAGAGGGTCAACTGGTGCCTCGTATCCAGCGAGCATTTGGAAAGCCGGAAAAAGTTTTTCTTCTGCAGCATCTGCTCGCAGCAGTTTGGAAGGAAGGCGTCTGCTGAAATCCACATGCGTGAACACGTCGCGTCTTTCGAATATTGTTGTCCCGAGTGCGTCTGGGGCGTCAATTCTGTCGATGAGCTGCGTCTTCACGTGAGCGAGAAGCACGCCGAGGACGAGATGATGTTTGCCCGAGAAGAAGCCCTTTTGGCCGAGGAACCCTTTGGTGTCTGCACGGAGCAAAATGAAGAAAACATGACGTACTTCGATATGACGGAACAGGTGAAGACATAATTCACATATCGTGGAAATTGCTGAGAGGTATTTTCGAAGTACTTCGCAGTAGGATTAAAACGAAAGGGAAGAGCTCTTAATTGACTTTTTTCAAGTTGAACCTTGAGAACTCGAACCTTCTTGTGTATATACAGTATTTTTTCAAGGCCCTGTCTGAATATTCTGAGAAACCCTGCATTAAAAACCTCCGTAACTCGAATACTTTCCCCCTAAAACCTTGATGACTCGAATTTCCCGGAGCCCTTTTGCTAATACTGTATTTAATTAACACAGGAAAGTGAAAAGCGAAAAACTGTAACGATGTGTTTTGAAAGGAAGCGAAAGAGTAATCAGGCAACTGGACCCCGTTCAGCACCCTGTCAACTCATTAAGCAATATCAGGCCCAAAATATCTCCGTTTACAATTTCTAATAATTTTTTTTTTTCACAAGATAAGGCTTTTTCCCTTAAATCGAAACCTCTAAAATGAATTTTTTTTTTTGCCGGTCTCTTGAAGTTTGAGAGGTTTGACTGTGCAATAGATACTCATTACCGTAATCTATGTAGGGTGACGTTTTCGTTCGAGGGTTTCTGTATTTTCGCGTTTTATTCCAGGAGCAATCGCAAATCAATGCATCAACAACTGACGATACTCATGCAGTGATGATCGATGTTACTCCGGAAGGAGTGATAATCGATGATCCCGCAAAGTTGAACGATGCGAAAAAATCTCCGCGAAAAGAGTGATGGATTCGCACGTTTTCACCCGGTTATCGGAGCAGCAATGATTTCTTTGAAGTACGTGAGTTGTCCACACTGAACTGTATAAGTTTTGTGCTTTTCTGTGAGGCAAATCAGTGTTAGGCGATTATTGTGGAAAGATTCATGGAAAATAATGTTTTTCTTTTAACCGGAGTCCTGTTTTCTCTGCGCCTTGATTTTCGTGGCCATTGAATAGATGACGCCTGAATCTTGCATTTTTTACGTTCAGCTAGGATATGATTCATTACGTGGGGTTAGTTTGAAGAGGTTAATGATTCAAGTCCCATCTCAATATATATTCTGCTAATACAAAAATTAATTGAGAAAAATTAATGATACATCCTGCGAAAAATTCAATTCATCACGACTCCGATACCAAATCATTGTGTGTGTGTTTTGTTTTGTTGAAGAAGTCCGTCGTTTTTGGCCCAATGAATTTTGTAAGGAATACTCGTTGATTTTATTTTCGTTCTTCGAAAAAGAAAACTGGCCAGTCCTTATTTTTGTCAAGATTTCATTTATTTCTGCAGTCATGTGAGAATTACCGAAAAGCGTACACATATAGAAGAACAAAAAGCTGATGAGTTTTCTAATTGTCTGGCCTTTCGCGTAGCGAAATGAAAGTTTCACTTCGTATTTCAATGTGTTAATTGCTTTGCTGTACAGGTGACCCATCTTCTTTCCCGGAAGAAACCCAAGGGAAAATCTGTTTCCGGAGTATCTTCATTGTCGTCCATCTTATCTACGTTTTACCAGAAAATGTTTGGTTCCGCAATCGTTTTTAGCGAGCTCAATTGTATCGTATCCGAAAATTTTATTTTGAACTTCTGATATTCATTCCGCGATGGGAACTATTGCGTCAATCCGGTTGTTTTCGTTGTTTTTTTTTCTAGTTTTGCATTTGCATTTCGTGTTGTAATATTTCGTGTCGGAACGAAGTGAAGTGACTAGATTTAGCAACATGCCGCTGTAATTTTCCGTGTTACAAGAAAACTGGGTGAAAATTGGAACCCGATGGAATCTGAAAAAAAAAACCTACCGAGATTGGGTTACTGATTCTGATCTCCGTTAATCATGCGGTGTTTTTTTTTTCGCCGAACTGACTTGTTCATGGTTTGCGAGAGAACTTTTTTGTGTGTATGTTTTTTCTTGTGCCGATTGGGTATCGGGCAGGAAAATCGGTACGCTAATTTTTGTCAAGGTTTCGTTGACCGTGAAATGGTCGAAGAGCTCGAATCCACATGGTGTTTTCAGTTGAGCTTACTAAAGATTGATCTTTTGTGGCAGGTGATTGAAAAAAATGGTCACGCGCGAATTCCGTCACTCGGGGCATGTAGAAGTCCTGGGCAAGGATTTGTGGGGATTGCGAAACCTGAATGTGACCACAGACGCACGCCTCATGAGTGGCACAGAATGTTTTCCAGTCCACAGTTGCGTTCTAGCCTGCAATTCTCCGTATTTGGAACACTTTTTCCAAACCCAAACGTCGACGAACCCGGTGTTCGTGTTGCCCAACGCAGAACCGAAATCTGTCATGCACCTTTTAGAATTCATGTATACGGGCGAAACTCGAGTAGAAGTGGATCAGCTGGCTGAATTTGGTGAATTGGCAAACCTGCTGGATGTTCGAATATTGAAAGAACTGTGGCCACTGGAATCGATCGAGGTTAAAAAAGAGATTAGCGATGCTGAAGATATGAACATGACCTCATCACCGCCGCCGAAGAACCGGCCCAGGGGTGGGCCAAAGAGCAAGCGGAACCCCGTAGATTTTTATCCAGGAGAGGATTCGAGTGTGGATTTCGACGTTCTCGAGGTTCGACTTGACGCTTTGGGTGGCTGTTCATCTGTTATCATCAGATGCATTCCTAATTGTTTCAGAACACTGCCGAGGTTTCTACGTTGGCGTCAAGCAGTTCTAATGCGGACCATGTAAGTTTTACCATTTTTTTCATTATAGATCCACTGCCATTTTTCAATTGAAGATTTTAAAAATTAGCCTTTGTTCTGGTCTTCGGTGTTCAGTGAGATTCGCTCCAGCTTTACTGTTTGCCCTGTTCGATTATCTAGCGAGTAATTCCTCATTTTTGCGCTTTACCTATCAATTCAAACTATTTTTCCCTCGAGTATTTTCAAACACGAAAGAGTTGCGGACCAATAAGATACTTATTAAGAAACTGTACGTTCTCACAAAGTAAGCTATTGATGCCTGAAAATTCTCAAGGAAAAACTATTTTATTGTCGCACTAACGAAAAACGTAAGTCCATAAGACGATTTTGTAATGCAAATTTTCGAGTTTATTTCAGAAACGTTGTGAATTTTTATTTTTAAACTTGACCAAATTCATGTCCGGAGGATCCCTCTCCTCTATGTGCTTTTCATCTTACAGGATATATTAGCAGCGTTTGCTAAATCATCTGAAAATGAAGTCGCTGTACCAGATGACATGAAATTTTTGTATAGTGAAGANGCTTTTCATCTTACAGGATATATTAGCAGCGTTTGCTAAATCATCTGAAAATGAAGTCGCTGTACCAGATGACATGAAATTTTTGTATAGTGAAGAATCTGCTGCTGTCGCAGTTCCGGTGGACAGATTGGCTATGGATGTTCCCCCTCAATTTGACGTGGTGAGGAAACCGTCTCAAAAATTGGCTTTGCGTATCTATAATCAGCTTGAGAAGGAGAATTACATCTATGTTAGAATCTATTTTTTGCGACGCCTCTGAATTTTATTCGGATGCGTCGTGGGAGTTCATCACGTTTTAAACTTTGAAATATCTTTAATCTTTCTTCGAGGTTCCGTAAATTCAAGTTTTAATGTTGTGTTAAACTCCAAGATTTTTGAGATCCTGGTACCTAATCCCAAGTTTTTTTTTTTTTTTCATCTGGAATCGTTTCAGATGGAAATCATGAAGACTCAAAAAGGATATTACAAATTAGCCTATAAAGGTTACGTCTACCGCAAGCACAAAAATTATGTTGATCGGGTATCATGGCGTTGTGAGCAGCGGAACTGCAAAGGACGTGCTACAACACCCATGGATTTCGAAGAATATCAAGGAAGAGATGTTGTTACGGTAACTCAACTACATTCACACCCTGCTTCAGCAGTTAGAGTCGAAGTGCTTATGGCCCGAACGAAAGCTTTAAATGCTGCGACAGGAGACCAAGCTCCCGAGGAAATTGTTGCCAATGCAGTTGCGGGTCTTTCTGAAGAAGCACTCAGTGAAATTGGCTCAGGCCGGGGTTTCATTCAGGCAATTAAACGCAAGAGGAAATTAATGCAGGGCCCAGCTTGTGAGGTACTATCACCAGCTGGTGAAATAGTTCGAGACTGCTATGGAAATGCATTTTTACAGTTCTGATGCTGGTGAGTGGTTGCATGTGGCTTTTTGATTAAGCAATGATTGGTGTTCAGCTCGTGTGGCGTTGTGTTGAGTACGTTAACATCTGTTTCCCATACAATTGAACCTGGTTTGAGGATGACTTCTAGTTGGCCATTCAAAAGTATTCTTTCTCAGGGGGATATTTGAAGCGTCGATTTTTTTTACTAAATTTTCATGCAACTTCGGAAGAAAAGAACAAAATGCAGGTTGAAGATTTGAGGGCTGTAAATTTTCAAGTTTCCATCCGCAGTTACACGCATCATTGAAAGAAATGAATTTTCAACGGAAACTTTAATTTTCAGATTTTAATTCGTTTAAATCAATCAAAAAATAAAAATATTTGAAATTAAACGCAAAATTTTTTTTTTTTATTTGTCGAGGGCGCGCGGAACTGCGTCTCTAAAATCGTTTTCCTTGTGTGAGAAATGTTATTTGTTGATTATAAAAGAAAAATCAATGAAAGTAAAAATATGTCCGTGTATTTTTTCTATGCAAAATGTTGGAAAAACAAGCGAAATTTAAGTCACGTAGCATAAATGGCGGGTTACGTTCAACTCCTGGCCAGGAAAGGTTTATGTGCAGTATATTGTGGCGTTGTGTTGAGTACGTTAACATCTGTTTCCCATACAATTGAACCTGGTTTGAGGATGACTTCTAGTTGGCCATTCAAAAGTATTCTTTCTCAGGGGGATATTTGAAGCGTCGATTTTTTTTATAAATTTTCATGCAACTTCGGAAGAAAAGAACAAAATGCAGGTTGAAGATTTGAGGGCTGTAAATTTTCAAGTTTCCATCCGCAGTTACACGCATCATTGAAAGAAATGAATTTCCAACGGAAACTTTAATTTTCAGATTTTAATTCGTTTAAATCAATCAAAAAATAAAAATATTTGAAATTAAACGCAAAATATTTTTTCTTTTATTTGTCGAGGGCGCGCGGAACTGCGTCTCTAAAATCGTTTGCCTTGTGTGAGAAATGTTATTTGTTGATTATAAAAGAAAAATCAATATTTCATTTTTATACAGGCACATAAAAAAGATACGTTTTACAACCTTTTTGTTCGCTTTAAATTCAGTGCATCGTATTTACCGCCCAATGCAAGTTGAGGACCGGTCCTTTCCAAATACACGTCATATTGTCTCGACCTAACTTTTTACAAATTAAATGGAGTAATCAAGGAGAAGACGGGATTCAAGGACTACAGATTTTTTTTCGAATCTTCCTTAATTTGTAATGGATTTGAACTCTGATCATTTCAACAAAAGACTTGTGTATTTCTGCGTATTATTTCAGGAGGGATTCAGTACTGCAGCATCAACTGACGATACCAATGCTGTGATGAGATGCGTGAATCCCAAAGGAAAGATGGTGAATAAGTCAGTTCAAGGTGGACTCGATGAAGAAATCTACAGAACAGTGATGATGAAAAATCTCTCTTCATCTCTTTTGTGTGAGAGCGCAACGATTTTTATAACAACGTTTTAGTCTTTTTTTTTTTTTTTTTTAAGATCCTGTAGTTTTTGGCTTTTTTCCTGATTTTTAGGCAAGTGCTGCTTCTTACTCATAGTTTTTATAGACATATAAATGAGAATGAAGCAAGTGAGATGTCTCCTTCCTAGACAAGGCCTGCGTGCGCTTTTGGACGTGTACCCATTAGCGACCGGCTTTTAAACCGCAGAAAGCGCATAAAATACACAAGTTCGCAGCAACAACCCTTTAAGGTTGTTCCGCGATAATTCTCATCGAGCTTGTTACTCGCCGCTTTTTGATGTCGATCCCGCATTCAAATAACTTCGACGATTCGATTGTTTTTATGTTTTAGCTTTTGCATTCGCGCTCTCTGTTGAAATGTCTTATGGATGATTGAAGTGACGGAACGGAATCAGCGAAAAAGGTTGTTGTTGTTCGTGTCTTGAGAAAACTGGGGTGTAGACTCGAACAAATTGGGTACTTCGAAAGTAATTTTCTCATTTGCTATGAGAATTGGCAGTTCTGCCAAGCTACGATGATCTCCGGTGACCAGAAGATGAAACTTTATTTTCCGAAAAACTCATTCTTAATTTTTTTTTCGAGCAGTTCGGTTATTTTTTATTTTCCTCTGCAAGAGTATTCAAGGTGAGAAATTCTCTCAATTGAGAAATTTGAGAAATTTCTCAATTTTTAACTGCTTTGTTACCCTTAAAGAAGTCGATGATTTGCAATTCATGTGTTCTATCCAGTGTTCATGCTGACGATTGTTCTTTTGTTGCAGGTTAGAAAAATTGAAATAGAATAAAAATACTTGAAATGTTCACGCGGGAATTCTGCCACTCGGGGCACGCGGAAGCCCTGGGTAAAGATTTGTGGGGATTGCGAAGCCTGAATGTGGCCACGGACTCGCGACTCATGAGTGGTACAGAATGTTTCTCAGTTCACAGTTGTGTCCTAGCGTGCAATTCTCTTTTACTCTTACTTCGTTCACTCTACAGAGGAAGGATCTGTTCCGGACGCACGCGAAAACCTGCACATGGGTAATCGCTGGCCGAAAATTTGGCGTCTTTCGCGTATTTTATGTGTTCAAGCGTCGTTTAACCCTTTAAGGTTGTTCCGCGATAATTCTCATCGAGCTTGTTACTCGCCGCTTTTTGATGTCGATCCCGCATTCGAATAACTTCGACGATTCGATTGTTTTTATGTTTTAGCTTTTGCACGCGCTCTCTGTTGAAATGTCTTATGGATGATAGAAGTGACGGAACGGAATCAGCGAAAAAGGTTGTTGTTGTTCGTGTCTTGAGAAAACTGGGGTGTAGACTCGAACAAATTGGGTACTTCGAAAGTAATTTTCTCATTTTCTTTGTGAATTGGCAGTTCTGCCAAGCTACGATGATCTCCGGTGGCCAGAAGATGAAACTTTATTTTCCGAAAAACTCATTCTTAATTTTTTTTTTCGAGCAGTTCGGTATTTTTTATTTTCCTCTGCAAGAGTATTCAAGGTGAGAAATTCTCTCAATTGAGAAATTTGAGAAATTTCTCAATTTTTAACCGCTTTGTTACCCTTAAAGAAGTCGATGATTTGCAATTCATGTGTTCTATCCAGTGATCATGCTGACGATTGTTCTTTTGTTGCAGGTTAGAAAAATTGAAATACAATAAAAATAATTGAAATGTTCACGCGGGAATTCTGCCACTCTCCCGTGCGCCTTCGGGACCCATTTCTAAACACCCCTAACGCTTCGGACTTACACCGGTGCCTGAGCGCTGAGTACTCACCATGTCTTACAAAGAGTCAAGTGTCAACACAGGATCGCACGTTAAGAGCGTATTTGGAACATTTTTTCCAAACCCAAACATCGACGAACCCGGTGTTCGTGTTGCCCAAAGCAGAGCCGAAATCTGTCATGCACCTTTTGGAGTTCATGTACACGGGAGAAACACGAGTCGAAATGGATCAGCTGGCTGAATTTGGTGAACTAGCAAACCTGCTAGATGTTCGAATATTGAAAGAACTGTGGCCACTGGAATCGATCGAGGTTAAGAAAGAGATTAGCGATGCTGAAGATATGAACATGACCTCATCACCGCCGCCAAAGAACCGGGCCAGGGGTGGGCCAAAGAGCAAGCGGAAGCCCGTAGATTTTTATCCAGGAGAGGATTCGAGTGTGGATTTCGACGTTCTCGAGGTTCGACTTGACGCTTTGGGTGGCTGTTCATCTGTTATCATCAAATGCATTCCTATTTGTTTCAGAACACTGCCGAGGTTTCTACGTTGGCGTCAAGCAGTTCTAATGCGGACCATGTAAGTTTTACCATTTTTTTCATTATAGATTCACTGCCATTTTTCAATTGAAGATTTAAAAAATTAGCCTGCGTTGAAGTCTTTGGTGATCAGTGAGATTCGCTCCAGTTTTACTGTTTGCCCTGTTCGATTATCTAGTGAGTAATTCCTCATTTTTGCTCTTTACCTATTAATTCAAACTAATTTTTCCTGAAGAATTTTCAAACATGAAGGAGTTGCAGACCAATACGACACTTTTTGAAGATACTGTACGTCCTCACGAAGTAAGCTGTTGATGTCTGAAAAATCTCAAGGAAAAAATGCAGTATTTTATTGTCGTACTAACGAAAAACGTAAGTCCATAAGACGATTTTGTGATGCACATTTTCGAGTTCATTTCAAAAACGTTGTGAATTTTTATTTTTAAACTTGACCAAGAAGTACAGGCCTCCTAGGGAGAGGAGATACACGAAAAGTAGAATGTCCTATATAATCGTCGCAAACGATTTAGTAGACTTTTACTTCAGCGACATGGTCTACTGTACTTTAAAAACATATCACTTCTATCTGCTGCTGTCGCAGTTCCGGTGGACAGATTGGCTATGGATGTTCCCCCTCAATTTGACGTGGTGAGGAAACCGTCTCAAAAATTGGCTTTGCGTATCTTTAATCTGCTTATCTATAATCAGCTTGAGAAGGAGAATTACATCTATGTTAGAATCTATTATTTTGCGACGCCTCTGAATTTGAGTCGGATGCGTCGTGGGAGTTCATCCCGTTTCAAACTTTAAAATATCTTTGAGCTACAATTCCTTTCTTAGAGGTTCCATATTATAAAATTTAGTTTTAATGTGATAAACTCCCAAGATTTTTGCTATTTTGGTACCAAATCCAAATTTTTTAAAAACTGGAATCATTTCAGATGGAAATCATGAAGACTCAAAAAGGATATTACAAATTAGCCTATAAAGGTTACGTCTACCGCAAGCACGCCAGTTCTGTTGATCGGGTATCATGGCGTTGTGAGCATCGGAACTGCAAAGGACGGGCTACAACACCTATTGACTTCGAAGAATATCAAGGACGAGATGTTGTTACGATTACTCAGCTACATTCACACCCTGCTTCAACAGTAAGAGTTGAAGTACTGAGGGCCCGAACAAAAGCTTTAAATGCTGCGACAGGAAACCAAGCACCTGAGGAAATTGTTGCCAATGCAGTTGCAGGACTTTCTGAAGAAGCACTCAGTGAAATTGGCTCAGGCCGGGGTTTCATTCAGGCAATTAGGCGCAAGAGGAAATTAATGCAGGGATCAGCTTGTGAGGTACAATCACCAGCTGGTGAAATAGTTCGAGACTGCTATGGAAATGCATTTTTACAGTTTTGATGCCGGTGAGTGTTTGCATGTGGCATTTTGATTATGTTTTGATTTGTGTTCAGCTCGTGGGGCGTTGTGTTGAGAACTTTAACATCTGTTTCCCATACAATTGAACCTAGTTTGAGGATGAGTTTTAGTTTTCTACTTTCTTGGGGGAATATTTGAAGCGTCGGAGATTTTATCTCTAAATTTTCATGCAACTTCGGAAAAAAAAATGAAGGTGATGGAAAAAATGAAATAAAAAAAATGATTTGATGGCTGTAGATTTTCAAGTTTCCTTTCACAGTTACACGTATCATTGAAAGAAATGAATTTCCAACGAAAATTTGAAATTCTAGATTTTAAATTCCGCGCAACCTCGACAAAGGGAAAAATAAAAATATATCAAATCAAAAGCGAAAATAATTTTTCCCTTTGTCGAGGTTGCGCGGAACTGCGTCAGGACCATTGATTCTGCGTCTCTGAAGTCGTTTTCCTTGTCTGAGAAATGTTAAATGTTGATTATCATAGAAAAATCAATGAAAGTAAAAGTATATCCGTGTATTTTTTGTATGCAAAATGTTGGAAATCCAAGTAAAAGTTTGGTTACGCAACATAAATGACGGGTTACGTTCAACTCATTGCCAGAAAAGGTGTATGTATATGTCTCGACCTAACTTTTTAAAAATTGAATGGATGAATTAAGAAGAAGACGGGACATTCAAGTACCACGGATGCTTTGTTTTTAGTCTTCCTTAATCTGTAATGGATTTGAACTCTGATAATTTTAACTGAAGACTTGTGTATTTCTGCGTATTATTTCAGGAGTGATTCGGTACTGCAGCATCGACTGACGATACCAATACTGTGATGAGATGTGTAAATCCCAAAGTAAAGATGATGAATGAATCAGTTCAAGGTGGACTCGATGAAGAAATCTGCAAAAAAAGTGATGATGGAAAATCTCTATCACTATTTTTGTGATAGCACAACGATTTTTATAACCACGTGTAAGTATTTTTTGGTTTAAGATACTGTACTTTAGTTTTTGCCTTTTTCCCTACTTTAGTCAAGTGCTGCATCTTAATCATGGTTTTTGTAGACATATTATATTCCTCCTTCGTTCACTCTACAGGTAAAGAATCTGTTCCTGACGCCCACGAAAACCTGTACATGGGTAATCACTGGCCGAAAATTTGGCGTCTTTCGCGTATTTTATGTGTTCAAGCGTCGTTTGGCCCTTTAAGGCTTTTCGCGATAATGCTCATCGAGCTTGTCAATGTGGAATCCAGTATTTACTCACCGCTTTTTGATGTCGATCCCGCATTCGAATAACTTCGAAAATAAGATTTTTTTTTATGTTTTAGCTTTTGCATTCGCGCTTTCTGTTGAAATGTCTTATCGATGATTGAAGTGATGGAACGGAAACAGCGGAAAAGGTTGTTGTTCGTGTCTTGAGAAAACTGGGTTGTAGACTCGAACAAACTGGGTACTTCGAAAGTAATTTTCTCAGTTGTTATGAGAATTGGCAGTTCTGCCAAGCTACGCTGATCTCCAGTGACAAGAAGATGAAACTTTATTATCCGAAAAACTCATTTTTAATTTCTTTTATTTTGAGCAGTTTGATAGTTTTTATTTTCCTCTGCCAGAATATTCAAGGTGAGGAAACTGAATCACCCAATTTTTAAACGCTTTGTTACCCTTGAATAAGTGTTTGATTTGCAATTCATGTGTTCTATCCAGTGATCATGCTGACGATTGATCTTTTGTTGCAGGTTAGAAATATTGAAATACAATAAAAATACTTGAAATGTTCACGCGGGAATTCCGCCACTCGGGGCACGCGGAAGCCCTGGGTAAAGATTTGTGGGGATTGCGAAGCCTGAATGTGGCCACGGACTCGCGACTCATGAGTGGTACAGAATGTTTCTCAGTCCACAGTTGTGTTCTAGCTTGCAATTCTCCGTATTTGGAACATTTTTTCCAAACCCAAACATCGACGAACCCGGTGTTCGTGTTGCCCAAAGCAGAGCCGAAATCTGTCATGCACCTTTTAGAATTCATGTACACGGGCGAAACGCAAGTAGAAGTGGATCAGCTGACAGAATTTGGTGAACTGGCAAACCTGCTGGATGTTAGGGTATTAAAGGAACTATGGCCACTCGAAACGATCGAGGTGAAGAAAGAGATTAGTGATGCTGAAGAAATTAACCTACCCGTTTCCCCACCGCCGAAGAACCGGGCCAGAGGTGGCCCAAAAAGCAAGCGGAAGTCCGTAGACTTTGATTTAGAATTGGATTCGAGCATGGAATTCGAAGTACGTGATTTTTGCCTCGAGGATTGTTGAATTTTCTTCATTCATTGATTCTCACCCTTGAAAAATCTTTCTGTCCTGTTTTCAGAATACAGCCGAGTTTTCTGCCCTGGCTTCAAGCAGTTCAAATACGGACCATGTAAGCATTCTTCCTTTTTATTTTTATATTTCTGCTGAATTTTCGTTCCACAAAAGTTTGAGAAAAATACCCTCGTATTCGAGTTTCAAGTGTAAACTGAAATGTGGTTCACTTTTCCTGTCGGTCCTGTTCATTTTTCCATTCGCAGTAATCCCTGAACCAAGGCAATTTTGATCGCTTTTCCAGCATAAATCTTCAGCAAGTACAGTGTGGTATTAGTCTGCGATTGACGAATGTCTAATACAGTACTGTAGTTTTTAAAGAATTTCCAAGTTTAATTTTGTGCGATAGAAAGCCCTGGATCAGCCATTAATTTCAGTATTTTTGTGGAAATACTGTATTTCAACAGTTCATGAGTACGAACCATAATTTTGTATGGGCTCATTATTTTTTAGGAATTACCGGCAGTTGTTGCTCCGCCTGATGACATGATTTCGGTAAAGAGTGAAACAGCGGCTACTACAGAAGTCCCTAAGGTTGAAAGATTTACAGTGGAAGTTCCGCCTCAGTTTGACGTGGTGAGGACAACTATTTTTGCAAGAAATTTGCAAAAATCGCACCTGTGTTTTATCTCATGTTTTTTTAACTACGCATCAAAATATATTTTATTTCGGATGCGCCCTTTCATGTTCATCGACATTGATTTAAAACGACAACAGCTTATTTAAAGTTTTAAAGGTCAAGTTTAATTTAGGCGATTTCCATCCAAATCAGGAACAAGAAACTTCTTATAAGTGTTCCTGGTCTTGAAAATTTATATTTTTGCTCATGTATCATGTTCATCGTCTAAATACTGTATTAAAAATTAAAAATTTAAAATTTCTTATTGAAGTTCATTTTTGTTCGTTCTACAATAATGTAGATGGAAATCATGAAAACTCAAAAGGGAAATGACAAATTAGCGTACAAAGGATACGTGTACAGCAAGGACAGGAAGTATGTCGATCGGGTATCATGGCGTTGTGAGCAGCGGTACTGCAAAGGTCGTGCTACAACACCATTGGATTTCGAAGAATATGAAGGACGAGATGTTGTTACGATTACTCAGCTACATTCACACCCTGCTTCAGCAGTAAGAGTTGAAGTACTGAGAGCCCGAACAAAAGCTTTAAATGCTGCGACAGGAAACCAAGCACCTGAGGAAATTGTTGCCAATGCAGTTGCAGGGCTTTCTGAAGAAGCCATGAACGAAATTGGTTCTGGTAAAGGTTTTATTCAAGCCATCAAACGCAAGAGGAGATTAATGCATGGGTCAACGTATGAGGCTCCATCACCGGCTGGCCAAATAGTGCAAGACTGCTATGGGAATGAATTTTTTCAGTTTTGAGAGTGGTGAGCGCAAATTTTCTGGATATTCGCAATGCACAGTGTACTGTATTCGTTGTTTCTATTGCAGGCAAATTGGCAGGGGCGTCATCCGATGCATTGTATCCAGTGAGCATTCAAGAAGCAGACCGATTTTTTTGCAGTATCTGCTCGAAGCAGTTTGGAAGGAAGGCATCTGCCAAGATCCGAATGCCCAACGTTTGAATATTGTTTTTACGAATGCGTCTGTGGTGTTCAACTCCATAGATACACTGTGGTTTGAGCTGTTTCCGGGAAGAAGCCATCTTGGCCATGGGACTCTTGGAAGTCCACGCGAAACAGCTGGGAGAGAACGTGAAGTACTGAACAGTACCGGAACAGGTAAAGGCAAATTCATCAATACTGGAAATAATGTTCAGCCTCGATAGCTCCAACCCCCCTAAGTCAAATCCCGGTACCTCCATATGTCAATTATTTTCAAATCCCTGTCTGAATTCCTTTAGAAACAATGCATTAAAAACCTGCCTAACTCGAAAGCTTTTCCCCTCCAACCTCCATAACTCAAATTTTCTGGAGGCATTCTGGCTCACATTTTATTAAAAGGAATGAAAAAAGCATTAAAAATGTAACTTGTTGTGCTTTGAAAAGAAGTGAAAGATTAATTGGGCGAATGAATTCTGGCCTCCCAAGTGCAGCATCATGACAACTCATTGAAAAATCCATTCATGGCCAGAATATCACCAGTTGCAATTGCCTGCGATTCTTTTTGCCCTTAACAAGAATGCTTCATTTCCTATATCAAATTTTTTTGCTGGTCCCTTGATGTTCGACTGTATTGCGATTCACTTATTAATTCATGTTTTGACTGAATCTGTAAAACAGTAATGAGACTACTTTATTTCCGATTTCGTCGCATGAAACCGGCGCAATTTCTTATTTTTCTTTTTAATAGTTCATGAAAAATGAAGCTAAACATTTGTTTTCTTCATTCTTGACGAGCTTTTTGTTATTTCTTTCGTCTTCCTCTTCAGCTAACGAATCCGTCATGAAGAATATCCACGGGATTATCAATAGCTGGGATTACTGCGTCGTTCTCATCTGCGTGTTAACGGCCTTCCACCTGGAGAGGTTTTATTTCGCGATGCTTCTCACCGAGCTCATTAGCGTTGACAGCAAAAGTATCATTTTGCGCTTCTGAGTGTCGATTCCGCTTTGTGGAACCCGTTCTTCAATCAGAGTATATATATTTTTTCGTACTTACGCATTTGGTAGAAACGTGTACTACCGAAGTGTAAGCGCGAAAAAATCAGCGGATAAATAAATACTGCAGTTTTCGTTCGCGTTGAAATACGACTGGGATGTAGAACGACTGTATTTCGAGATCTACTGAAATTTACGAGAATTTCTTCCTGGGTTGAATCACGAAGCCGGCGACGATGAACCGAGCAACTCTTAATTTTCGCGATGAATTGGTGCAATTTTTCTTCTTTTTTGCAGAAGAACCTTTTTTGTGGTTTGCAGAAAGAAATTGAGTTTGTTTTTTCTATCGAATATTTCTCTCGTAGTCTCCCTCTTATATCGCGATTGTTTTCTGCCTCGCTAAGATAGCTTTTTCGGTCTTTTCAACGTTCAATTTTGCTTTTCCACGATTTAAATTTTTTTTACAGGTGAGAAAGAAAATGCTAAAGCGCGAATTCCGTCACTCAGGGCATGCGGAAGCCCTGGGCAAGGATTTGTGGGGATTGCGAAACCTGAATGTAGCCACAGACTCGCGACTCATGAGTGGCACAGAATGTTTTCCAGTCCACAGTTGTGTCCTAGCCTGCAATTCACCGTATTTGGAACACTTTTTCCAAACCCAAACATCGACGAACCCGGTGTTCGTGTTGCCCAAAGCAGAGCCGAAATCTGTCATGCACCTTTTAGAATTCATGTACACGGGCGAAACGCAAGTAGAAGTGGATCAGCTGATAGAATTTGGTGAACTGGCAAACCTTCTGGATGTTCGGGTATTGAAGGAACTGTGGCCACTGGAAACAATCGAAGTCAAGAGAGAAATGAGCGATGCTGAAGAAATCACCATGCCTGCGTCCCCACCTCCAAAGATCCCTGCCAGAGGCATGCTAAGGAGAAAGCGGAAGCTTGTAAACTTCGTACCGGAGGAGGATTCGGGCATGGAATGTGTTTTACGTGAGGTTCGTTTGACGGTCTTCCTTTCTTCTGTAGTTTTTGATGCGATGTATATTTTTTAATTTCAGAATGCGAATGAGGTCTCTGAAATAAATCCAAGCAGTTCAACTGCTGATCATGTAAGTACAGTACATTAATGTAATACAATTTGTAAATTTCGTTTGAGATTTCGAGTTATTTCGACTGAGTAGTGCAGTTTCTGTTTTATTTTCTGTGTAACAAGTACATTCGATGTGACGATACCTCTGTTCATAAACAGCGAACTTTAGTACAGTACTGTAATGCAGTACTGCAATTCTCTTCATTTTTTTAAATCCTGCGATGGGTGACATTCTAGAAAGAAAGAGTCTTTTAGTGCCAGAATGCCTCGAAAAGCGGATCCGTACTTATTCAACGTTGCATATACAGTAGGTCTAAAGGTGGAAATGTACGAAGGAATATAAAGAGGTAAATAACAAATAACAGTATGTCATCTGCGTGAGGTGTTCGGGGTAAAGCTTCAATCGTTTTTTCACGATTTGCGACAATTGCTTAAAATTTCATGGAAAGCTTATGAATCAAGTTTGAAAAGGTGAACTTGAATATGTTTGAGTATATTTTTTTGCTTCTTTTTTCCGTTCTTTCTTATGCTTGATTGTCATTTGTCTGAAGATTCTGCCTTGGCCCGTTTCATGTTTCAGGAGATGTTGAAGATTGATTGTTTGCCTGAAGCTGTCGACGTAGTGAAGAGCGAAGCAGATGTTACTGAATCAGCCCATCAGAATAAACCTGCAGTAAATGTTCCTCCCAAATTTGCCGTGGTGAGATAAAAATTAACTTGTTGCAATTTTTTAAACTTTAACGAAAAGAATAAGATTTCTATTGAAAAGTTAAATATTTTTTTGGCAATCTAAATTTAATATGGGTTTAAAATTCCAAATTTATAAGTTAGTCATTTTTTGCTGACAGACGATACAGAACGTGTAAACTTCTTTTATTTTGAGATCTGCTGTGATGAAGCTGAATGGATTGCTTTAATGCATGTTTTATTGAGGTTTTTCATTCATGTTGTATCCATTCGATTGCAGATGGAAATTATGAAATCACAAATGGGAAAGGACAAAATGGCCTACAAGGGCTATGTGTACTGCAGGGATAAAAAGAAATCTAATTGGATCACTTGGCGTTGTGAGCAGCAGACCTGCAAAGGACGTGCTACAACACCTTTAGCACTCGATGAATACGAAGGACGGGATGTTGTCACTGTCAATCAATTGCATTCTCACCCTGCCTCTGCAGTACGAGTCGAAATTCTGAGGGCCCGGACAAAAGCTCTTATAGCTGCAACAACGGGAAACCAAGCCCCTGAGGAAATTGTTGCCAATGCAGTCGTGGGGCTTTCGGAAGAAGCCCTGAGTGAAATTGATTCTGGGAAAAGTTTCATTTATACCATCAAACGCAAAAGGAGACAGCAGCGGGGTCCAATTTGTAGGGCTCCATCACCAGCTGGTCAAATAGTGCATGACTGCTATGGAAATGAATTTTTGCAGGTCTGAAACTGATATGTAAGTGTTACCGCTGTAGTTTTGAATTTTGCATTTTTTTATTAGCTTTTGATGTTAACGCTGGATCTCCCCGAATGATAGCAATTTAAAAAAAAATATTTCGAAGAATAATTTTGAAAATAAAACGAAAATAAAGCAGACACAGTTTCTGAAAATTATAGTTTTGGAACACTTTAAAAACCGTCACATAAAAAATATGAACTTCTGTTTTATTTAATTTTGTTCATTTATAAATATTAGTATGGTTCGAGGTCATTTTTTTTCAAAATTAAAAAAGCGTTTTCGTGTATTGGTGTCCATAATGCATCAAGGTTGTCGGTTATGTGGGTGAAACAAAGCCAGGCATGGACGTGAAGCAATCTGAGGACAAGTTCATGTTTGCTCAGGAAGAAGCCATCCTGACCATGGAATCTTTTGAAGTCTCCGCTGAGGAACGTCGAAGAAAATGACTGTGGAAAGCTGTGAGACGTGGGGTATTGGGTTGATGACCAATTCTCTTTGTTTATCAAAAGTTCTGCTTTAAATTTTGGACTTGATTTTATTGCTCTGTTTCGCGAATATCCTTGGATTGCTGGTTTTTTATGAGAAAGGTGAAAGTCAAGTTATGATTTTGGATTGATAAGTGGGGAGTTATTCAATGGGATATCGAGTGATCAATTTATGAGAGACGATGTTTTCCGTAAAATACCCAAGGAAAAGCTTGGGTTACGCGGATAATTCATTGTGCAGTACAGCGTCCTTTTCATCTTCATTGAAGTAATCTTTCACTCTCGGAAGTTCTATTCCACGATTGTCGCGGAGGTCGTTGATGGAACTACCAAAAATGTCAAACACGGAAATTCATGAATCGCTTTTGCTGGTGTCGATTCCGCAATCCGAACTCGGTTCGTTGATACAATTACTGACTTTTTTTTTTTTATTCGCGATTCTTTCCCGAAAACCGTTTCACTTACCGCAGTTGAAGGTCGAAGTTTGAAACCAAATTAAATTATTATGCGTTGGAAAAAAAAGGGATGGAGATTAGTTGAAAGTTAAGCCCACGAAAATATATTTTTCGGTTCAATTTGAGAAAACTCAAATGAACCAAATGGTTCTCATCTCATGTAGTCACTGAGGAATCTTTTTTTTTGTTGCCAGGAAACATTTTGTACGGTTTGCAAGAAAGCATCTATGAATGTGTTTTTTCTTTCCTACCGATCAGTTCTCGAAAGAACAGTCGGTCTTCTTTTTTTTTTTCAATTTGGTACCCGTCGATGTCGAATCCATTTGATTAGATATGATTGACCTCTTGTTGCAGGTAAAAAAAAAAATGCCCACACGTGAATTCCGTCACTCGGGGCATGTGGAAGCCCTGGGTAAAGATTTGTGGGAATTGCGAAGCCAGAATGTAGCCACAGACTCGCGACTCATGAGTGGGACAGAGTGTTTTCCAGTCCACAGTTGTGTCCTAGCCTGCAATTCGCCGTATTTGGAACACTTTTTCCAAACCCAAACATCGACGAACCCGGTGTTCGTGTTGCCCAGAGCAGAACCGAAATCTGTCATGCACCTTATAGAGTTCATGTACACGGGAGAAACACAAGTAGAAATGGATCAGCTGACAGAATTTGGCGAACTGGCAAACCTTCTGGATGTTCGGGCATTGAAGGACTTGTGGCCACTGGAGGACTTCGAGGTTAAGAAGGAGGTTAGCTATTTGGAAGACGTCAATTCAAATGCATCTCCGCCGAAGAACAGGGCCAGAGGCGGGCCGAAAAGCAAGCGGAAGCCCGTGTCTTCTGATCTTGATGGGGATTCAAGCATGGATTTCGACGCCCACGAGGTTCGTTTTAAAATCGTTGGTCTTCTCTCTTTTCCATTCTTCTCTTTTGATGAAGTGCGTACGAATTTGTTTCAGAATACCACCGAGTTTTCCGCCTTAACTCCGAGCAGTTCTAATGCCGACCATGTGAGTTTTCCAATTTGATAGTCAAGGGCTATTGAATAGTCAATTTTTTCTATGCAGGAGTTGATTTTTTTAGGAATTGAAAATCAAACGTCTCAAAGGAAATTGAAAGTAAAGCGTGTCTCTTGGACCATTCTTTATCGAATAATTATGTTACAGGAACTGTCAAGGGTTGATTCCTCACCTGATACCATGAACACGGTGAAGAATGAAGAAACTGTTGCTGGAAAAGTCCCGAAGAATGACTCATTAGCAGTGAATCTCCCTCCTCAGTTTGATGTGGTAATGTGAATCTCGTTTTACATTTCTCTGAATTTGCATGTCGTTTTCTTCGCTTCATTTCCAAGCTAACGTATACATAATGATTTATTCTCCTGAATCGCTATTTTTCAAAATACTGTAATGTGATTCGTGATACAGACCCTTATTTTAGATCTGCTCCTTTTAAATTTGATTATTAAAATGTTTTATATTTGTGCTATACTGTACGTATAATTTTTGGACTTCGTTTCTGTCCTAATGATCGTAACTTCGTTTTCGACCATCTTTTAAAATTATGTTGCTAAATTTCCAAAAGACTTCAAGGTTTGGCTTTCGTAAGATTAATTTTAATTCTTGCCTTTGAATTATTTCAGATGGAAATCATAAAATCGCAAATGGGAAATGACAAATTAGCGTACAAAGGCTACGTATATCGTAAGGACAAACGGTATATGGATCGTATAGCGTGGCGTTGTGAGCAGAGGAACTGCAGAGGACGAGCATCAACGCCAATAGAGCTAGAAGAGTATGAAGGGCAGGATGTTGTTACAGTTACTCAGCTTCATTCACACCCGGCATCAGCAGCAAGAGTTGAAGTTGTCAAGGCTCGCACAAAAGCTCTGATTGCTGCAACAACCGGAAGCCAACCTCCCCAAGAAATTGTTGCCACTGTTGTTGCTGGGCTGTCTGAAGAAGCACTCAGTGAAATTGGTTCTGCTAGAGCTTTCATTCAAGCGATTAAACGTAAGAGAAGATTATTGCAGGGTCCAACTTGTGAGGTTCAAGCGCCAGCTGGTCAAATTGTCCAGGACTGCTATGGGAATGAATTTATGCAGTTTTGAGACTGGTGAGTGATTCATTTTTTGTTGATGTTCGGAGTGTTGATTCGTGGTGAACTCTTACGATTATCCTCAACTTTGTGAAAATATAGGCGAACCTCTTGTAGTCGGATTCCAAGAGGCCAGCAAAAAAAAAATTTAGTCTGGGAGATTTTAAGTTGAAGAAACTGCAATTTTTGCCTTGAAAAATAATAGTTGAGAGGATCGGATTTTTGGCCCAAAACTGAATTTTGAAAGAGTTGACAGGATGCTGAACTTTGAGGCTAGGGCTCATTGGACTATTAATTTTTTTAATTCCTTCGAAAGTCCTGAATTTAATTTTTTGTATTTCTCTTTTCTGGGTCAAAAAAATAATAGGAAAAATACTTTCGGAAAATTCGATCTATAGAGGTTTGAGGGGGAAAGCCTTGGAGTTATGAAGATTTTTAATGCATGGTTTCTAAAGGAATTTCAGATAAGAGCTTATCCGACTATTCGGGAAGTTTTCGACTTGAAGAGGTTGAACTGTATTGCCTTTCCCGAAAAATCACTGGTTTTACCGACAACAAAATTAATGGTTATAATTTTCCCTGTAGGACTCAATGTATTGCCTCATATGAATGTGTAGCATTCCGTGTAAATTTTAGTCAACGTAATCTGCCTCTGTAATGTTTTCGTAACTCTGATAATTCAACCCCTGAACTCCAATCTGGAAAATTTTCCATCTGTAATTAAACTAAATTTGAAGTCACTGAATGAAAATGAGTACTGTATTTGTAAAACTTTTTCAAGGAAAAAGCGTCAGCATTTTTAATTTCATGTGCAGTTCAAAAATAATTTTTTTGAGAGACGGTTCCTGTTCATCATATTTGAGCATATTCTGTGTGCATCATTTATTTATTTTTTCGTTTTGCCGACAAAGGTGCAGTGGGTCAACTGGTATCTCGTACCCAGTGAACTTATGAATAGAAGAGGAAGACCTAATGCGAAATCCGCATGTTCGAGAGAAAGGCATTGGTCGAGGTTCAAATTCGTGAAGACATGGAGTTTCAAGTCTGTGTACGAATAGCGGCTACACAACAATGAGAAGTACGTCGAGGAAAAGCTGATGTATGCCCTGTCTTGTTCACGGGATCCTTTCAAGACAACGCCGAGTAGCTCGGAAAAAATGACCCGGAATTGGGTTGATGACCAGTTCCTGTTCCAAAAATTTTGCCTTGAATGGTTGGCCCAATTTTCAGAAATGTTTTCCGTACCGCGGATGTTCTTAGTTCATTGGTAGGTTCCAATGAAGATGAATTTGTCCTGTTGAAATCATCTTGGATGAAGTGATGATTGTGAACTAAGAATCACATCCATACTTCGTGATGATCATTGATGAACTTGTCGTCTTGTCGATAATGTCATTCAATGAGTGCTGAAGCGTTAATGCTCATTTTCGTTCGTACGCTGAAAAATTCTTCTGAAAGCTAATTTTCGCTTCTGACCGAAAGTATTTTTCTTGCATTTTACAGGGGTGAAATCTAGTCGGTGTTGACAGTTAGCCATATATGTTGTGTTTCGGATGATGTGTGCGTGGGAATCTCAGAATGACTTTCTGAGCTGATTACAAAATCGTCGAGCTTGCGGTGTTACACGGGGACGCGAATTGTAAGATTGAGTCCAGTTCTTGTGAGTATTGATCAGCTTTTTGCGCAACCTGAATTAATGTATATGGTCAAGCTATTTTTTTTTTTACTTTTCGTCATTAGATTAATTATGAACTACGCGATTTCAAGTTATTTTCCGCTTTTGGGTTCAATTTTTTATGCAAGAGAATTTATTTAGTGCCTGTCGTGCCTGTTAAGGATACCTGAACGTGCCTTCAAAAGATGCGATATACTCGTTGAAGAAAATTTAATGGTAAAGTACTTCAGCAATGTCAGTAAACTTTTTTCGAGTCGGATGATATCTTGCCTGAGTTCCACGCAGTTCGTGTGACAGATTTTTCTAAATGGATGCCATGTAGTACTTACAGTCCTGGAGTCTTTCGAACTAGTGAGTTTTCTGTCTTATTCTTTCCACTGAAATTCGAGTATAACATATTTTCGACTTCGTTGAGAATGTTAACGTTGGTGAAACTGAACTTGACCCGCTTGAAATGTGGGCTGTCTGTTATAACTGGTTAACTGCAAGAAATCATTTATCTCACCCAAAATCCTTCGACATTCTTCGGTGATTTTTCTTTTTCAATTGAAATAAATATATTTTATTTACGTGAATAGGACACGCACTTTCTTGCCCAAAAGCTGCAAAAAAGCTTGGTTTGCGTCTTATGGGTTGCAACGTTTTGTCGTGAAAATTTTTGCTCGCGTCACGCTGAAGTTAAAGTCATCTGGCGAGAAATCCTCGGGAAATGAGTCAAGGATCACTGAGACAAGGAGACTATAATAAAATAACATTTTATTGTTGCAGAAACAAGAAAGTACAATAATGACATTTGAACTCAACTTACATAAATATCTATGTTCAAACTTCAAATGACATGTACATGTACGTGTCCATCTTCCTTTTCATTCACTCACAAGCGGGAAAAATTGCGGATTTTCTCCTGACAATTTTTTTGTGAGATCTGTTTTTTCCTCACGAATTTTTGTTTCAATTAATCTTAAGCAAGGGAACGTAGTGCTTTAATATACTGCATGCGGCACTTTTTTTTAGATTAACTTCACCTAGCTTAAGTGAAACATTACATGTCCTGTTGTAAGGTGTTACAACGCATTCTACAAGTAAAAAAAAAAAAAAAAAAAAAATCGGCGTTTGCTCCGAGCAAATATTTTTGAATGTCATCGTTTTTTGCTCTCTGAAGAAAGAAGATGGAAAACTACGATCTCAGCTGGCAGTTGCATAATGAAGAAGCGTTGCGGGCTATTCAAGAGCTCCGGTCGTCGGGAAGTCTGACAGACACGTCCTTGTACTGCGAGAACCAGTTATTCCGGGTCCATGGGCTCGTGTTGGCGGCCTGTTCATCCTACTTCGAGAGGATTTTGGTGTCGCTGCCGAGTGCCAGCAAGGAAACCGTTATTGCCTTGCCGAAAATTAGCCTCAACCTGCTTCGACTTGCCATCGACTTCATGTATTCTGGGAAGGTGGGCAACAAATTTTCTCTTCGTTGAGATTTGGGAATGACCCGTTTCTTCGAGTTTTTCTAGTCGACAAACCGCATTTTTGAGTCATTCTCATTGAACAGCCAAATGTTCTTTGTAATTGTAGTGTATGTACACGTCTAGCTTTTGTCTACATAGAATTCAAGTTATGTAAGGTAAGGTTTTAACCTAACAAAGTCAGTTCGATGGTGTCCGATTAGAAGAGTTCAGTTTAACATTCGGTTTGTTTGAGGGTAATTTTAAGCAAGATCCAAGCTACATCTGCCGGTCATTCCTTGAAATGAGATGGGGTTTTCAAGTGTGAATGAAAAAATCGGCATGCTTGGCATTTTCTTTCCAGCTCCGGAAAACTTCTCTCGGGTTTTAAGAGCAAAAATAAATAAAAAACTTTAATTTTGAAATCCTTCGACCAGGTTTTCGATTTTCTGCTCATTTTTACTTTTTCAGAACTTAATTTCATGCAAAGTTTGTCCGGCTGAATTTTTTCTTTTGTTTTTCTTCGATAGAGATGGCGATCACATTTAAACATAGCAAAATTTCACGAAAAACTCCGAAGTTCATTATTTCTGAATTGTTTTTCGAAGTTATAAAATCTGTTAACTTTCATTTGTTGGACTTGAAATAAATATAGTCTTCTGCATGTTTTTAAGTCCTTCAAGTATGTTGTGGTTTTTTGTCCAGATCACCCCTTGAGATCTGGCCTATTCTCCAATGTTCAGGGTTTTCTTTTAAAATTTAAATCTGGCTCGAAAATATCTGTGGGATAACGCAACTTCAAACTGACGTCTCTATAAAAATTATGTTTCAGGTGACTGTTCCAAGCGACGACTTGGTGGCGTTCATGGACGTTGCCGAGATCCTCGAGATCCGTGGACTGAGATCAAAGCGACCGAAACGCGGCCTGGACGAGGAAGAAGAAGAGCGGGCGACCATTTCCGTTTCTGGTGACGAAGTGCTTGAGACGGTGGATGACGACGATGATGAGGAAGAAGATGACGAGGACGACGACGCGAACGCAAACCCAGGCGTGCGGTCGGAAGGCAAGCGGAGAGCCAGTGCGAGTGTGGACGAGAACGAGGTGAAACCCGCGAAGATGGGCAAACGGGCTTCGTCGAGGGGTGCTAAATCTCTGAACCCGCTGTCGAATGCCGAAATCACTTCCTCTGGATACAGGGACGACGTTGAACTCAAGGAGGACTGTGTTTTTGAGCTAGAGGTGGGTTGTATCAGGCGAGGCGAATGTCGAGAAGCCTCGCGTGTCAGAAATACGATGGTTCATTTTTATATCCTTTTTTTTTTTTTAAATATTTTTGATGAAGCATTTTTGAAGTGCGGGTAGATGTCACTGGCAGTTGGAATTTAATTCAAATTTCACTCTCGGACGTCGTAAAGAGCGTCTGCTTTTGATTCCACCCTTGCGTGTGTGTGTGAATATTTCAATGTTAATTTACGGGAGTTCCTCAGTTTCCGAGGTGGAAATTTAATGAGGAGCTAGGGACCGATTTTTTGCTTTATCGACGTGTTGTAAACTTTGATGCACTTGAGCGAGCTTTTCACCGAAGATTTTCAAGGCCACAAACTTTTCAGTTTTTTTTTATCGTAACGTACTTTTATACCTGTAAACTCAGACTATATTGATTGTTGTTTTCTTCTGCAGGGAACGGATAACGAGGATGACGATGATATAGCCTTGGTTTCCAATGGACTGGATGATTTGCAAAAGTTACAGATTCCGCAAAATATTCCGGCTGCGTTAGCTGGTGCTGTGAGTATTCTTCCATGTTGACGTATTTTAGATATTTTTGTGGGTGGGGGGGGGGGGTTATTCGTAAATTTCAAGTCGATGATAACATTCAGTATAACCCGAGGAAAAGACAGGAAAACTCCTGGATTTCTTACATTTTGTCCCAGTTTATTTTTGAGCACGAAAAGAAATTTTCTTTGTGGCACTAAGTGGGTTGGCTTTCAATCGGGGTGTCCCTATAGAATTTAATAGAGGGAAATTCGTGCACTAAATCGAGGGTTGCCTGTGTATATTTTTAAAAACGCAATATTTTTTATATCGCCCTCAGGAGCACATAGAACGGATGGGGTATTCGATTTGGCGAGGCCAGAGCCAGGCCTCCACCGGCCGTCGCCTGACGTATTTCTGCTCCATGTGTGACTACGTGTCGGAGCAGAAGTGCAATGCGATGCGACACGAGATCAAGCACAGCCAGATCCGGCCTTACGAGTGCAACATTTGCGGCAAGGCCTATACCGAAAATCGCGGCCTCAAACGTCATCGTCTCTCCGCGCACCCGAACGTGGACGACGGAAACGGGGCTCCACTGTCGCACCACCACAACCAGCAGCAGACGTCGGATTGATTCCCTGTGCTAGTCGCCAGTTTTTTTTTTTTTTTCGTGTCGCGAAATTTGTGTGTGTAGACGGGAAGATGAGGAGGAGGAGTTGGGGTTGTGTTAGGCACGAGAGATGGAAGGAAAAGGAAATGGGGAACCAATCAGTCGAGCCATGCTTCGGAAATCGGTGTGCTTGTGTGTCCGGTGTGTATGTCTGTGTGTTGTACCTGAGTCAGAGCAAGCGATTCTGTGCACGTCCGGTGGGAAAGTTGAACGGCTTCACCGACTGCAATCTCATAATACTCATCCCCTGCTTGAACAATTTGAAGTAAAAATAACTGCTTCCAGTGTTAAAAAATAATGAAAATAATCATAAGTATCCGAGGAAAAATCCCAGCATTTCAAGATATTTTTGCGGTAAAAAGGGGTCGCTGTTCTCAATGAAGGGACAGCGGAAGATCCACAAAATGTCACTGCAGTGACTTTTTGGTGATTTTAAAAATAACTGATTAATTTAACCGCGTGGTTGAATTTCTTTTTTTAGTTACAGTAAACGCGAAGTCGAGACCCTTTTGAGTGGATGAGTGCGTTGGTTGACTTTCACTTTACTAAATCGCTCTTGAGCCAAAATTTGGACATATCCGCTATTATTTGTATCCCCTTCGGAAGTGTGAAACTTTGTGGGAGGAGGGGTTAATGTTTCGTGAAAGCCGTTCAAATGACCCATCAAAAGCTCTTGTGTGAGCTGATTTGTTGCAGTAGACATGTGGACACGACCACCCATGCATCCCTGAATGTGTCAGCAAAAAGTTGTTTTTTTTTTCCTGGTGGTTCAAAAGGAAATTTTTCTGGTCGTTTCCGCTCGTGTTCACGGTAATTGTATTCTTGGCTTTCAGCCCACCGCGGGGGTGAAAAAATGTGTGGACCCGGGATAATCACGTTACTTGTTTCCGTGAATGTGTGGGCATTTCTTGTCGCTTCGTGTGAGGAAGGATCTCGGTGGAGAAGAAAAGAAAAGAAATGTTTGTGTGGTGTGGGGGGAGAGAAAAATTATGTTCGCGTAGGGCAAAGAAAAAACGAAATCGCGTGGAAGTGTAATGTATGTGTTGTTACCTCCACACACACCCGCCCTCTACTGTTTGTAATCGAGTCTGGTCATGACTTTATTTTGCTGTCCGCGCTTTTTTTTTTTCGCAAGGCGAGAAATTGTTCAGCGATTGGCCTCATCCCTGCCCCTGCAAACAGCTGCAGAATACTCGGAACACGCGAATTTTTATTTTTTGCGCACGAGTGCAGGAAAATAAGCAAGGTTTTGTTCGTGGAGAGGTCCCGGAGCGTCGCGTGTTTTTGGTTTTTATTTATTTTTTTTTTTTTTGAAAAATGCTTGCCATTTATTCGGGAAAGAAGTTTACCTTCGCTAGTCAAGTCATTTCGTTGCAGTATTGTATTCATCTGCGGCATTAATATTTTGTCTTTTGTTCTGGTCCATTGACAATCGGTTCTGGGTTCAAGGGTGGGTATTACGTTTCTGAAATTGCTTGAGAAACGGGTTCAGGTTGATGGGAGAGGTGATTGAAAAAGGGGATCAGAATCAGGGAAGGGATTATAGTCTGCACCACGTGGGTTTTTATCTTCAGGGCACTTTAAGGTTTGATGTAATTGTATGTTAGGGAAATTCTCTTTTTTTCGCCTCGAATCCAATGAAGACTTCTTGGACAAAACTTTTCCAGGAAAAGGAATTTATAAAACTTTCGCAACTAATGACGACAAGTTAAAGTTTGGAGTGTAATATTTAATAATTAGTTTCCTGACGCTGTTCAAGTTCCTGTAGGACCAGAATTCTCATCAGAACCTAAGTGCTGTATGTTGAAGATACAGTATCTAAAATTTGTCGGCTTAAAAATTCTTTTTTACAGTACATGAAACTCGGTAAATGAAGAAATCTAGACGGGCAGGTCAAGGACGTCTTGAAATAATGCTTTTCTCACGTGTCTAAAATCACTGAAATTTCTTTGAAAATGTTGGCCTGAAGTTTTTCAATTCGTTAGCTGTTGAATTTGATTTATTTCCTTGAGCGACATTTTTGCTGTTCTTGTCGAAATGTTCCCCCTGTGCTGGTGGACCAAAAAAAAATTACTTTCGTCTTGAGCGACAAAATGAATTTTTCTTGTGTTCTCCTCGGATTCGGGATTGCTTTATGGCAGATAAATCAGTCGGCATTGAAGCCCGCTAGTCGATGGGAACTTGCCAAAATTGGTTGGGTTTTTTGTGTGTATGTGTGGGGTTTGTGGCCAGGCGCATCGGTTCTAGTCAGCGCTATTTATTTCCGGGCCTCTCCGCGCTTCGTTTTTTTTTCGTGTACAGCAAAAAAGGAAAAAAATCTCTTGCATGCTTTCGTCGGTCAGTGAAGTAAACCAAATATTCTTCCCACATTGGCGAGTGGAGATATTGGAATTCATCACGAAGATGCCCATGCAGTACCAAGATTTGTTTTGCTGATTCATATCATTCAAAACATAACCGAAAAGTCGTTTCTATTCTTATTCGATTATACTGTACTTCTGAAGAATAATCAATCAAAATAATCTTGAGTAATTGAGCTGTCATTCGAAGAAATCAACGAGACAAATAGGAATATATATATGTATACTTATATATGCGGTATATACAAATTGGTGTAATCACGATCAAAAATCGAATAACTCGTGATCTGGCCTCATTTGAATGACATTGTAATTTCCTGAGTAGTCAGTCATTAGACTGTTGCTCCCTTTGTCCCGAGTGCACAAATTGATTCAGGAAAACGTCATGCGTTCAGTACAGTTTCATGATTTTTTAAAATACTGTAAAATCTGGTACTATGGAGTACTCGAGCGCGAATTCGCTGATTATTTAGGTGATTTCAAGTTAATTAAAATAAGCAAGGGACAAGAAGAGCTGTAAGAATAAATCTACGAAACATGGACTAGCCTGAATTATTCATTAGCCATGGGCATCCGCGTGAATCCACTTTTTTTCAATATTGCGTTGATGATCATATTACGCTGCTCATTTTTATTTCCGCAGGGACGTGTGTTTTTTTTCAATTCTCCACGTCTGTTCGAGTCTCGTCATGGAGGATTACGATTTGACATGGTCACAACATGGGGAAGAAACTTTTCGGGCGTTTGTTGACCTACGAGCTGGGTCAGCACACGTGGACGTGCTGCTCTTTTGCGGTGATGACACGCTTGAGGCGCACAAGGTCATCCTGGCTGCGTCTTCGTCGTACTTCGAGCGACTTCTCAACACGGTGGCCAACGAATATTCGCGCTACACGATCGTGGCCCTGGCCCAAATGGACCCTTTCCTCCTGCGCTTGGTCGTTGACTTTATGTACAGGTGCTTTATATTCGCTGTATTGCTAGTCGTGAATCGCATAACGGAATTTGTGGCCCGAAAATTTTTACAATCTTTGACTAATGCTTCGGAATTGTTTTCAAGCGTTGTGAGTGTTCGACGACTCGGAAAGATTCTTTGAAACGGAGATACCTGCGTAATTCTTCAGTATTCGAAGTAAATGTTCTGAAATATCCGTAAGCTTCATGCACTGGAACGGAATATTCTTCGGAAAGAGCTTGAATAACATCAGGAAGAACTTGAAAAATTGTGTCATGCTGAAGAATTTCAATGATGATACTCACTTCTGGGATTCATTGATTCCGAAGTATTCGCTGTTAGTATGATGGAATTTTTCGGCTATTTTCTTCCATTGTCTTGTATTCAATGAGGCATAAGACTGATAGTCGTTATACGAAGTAAATATGACGATAGGTGAGCTTTAAAAAATGAGTATGATTATCGAATTTATCTTGACAATTTGGGAATACTGTGGGTTTTATTTTTTTCAGTGGGTCAGTGACTGTGCCTTTTGACCGTCTTGAAGAGTTCATGGCAATGGCAGATTTGCTGGAGGTGCGAGGATTGGAGTCCAGTGCTGATTACTCCCTCGCGAGGTACTCTCGTTTATTTTTTGCTTGATTTGGATATGTCTGATGCTATGCCACAGTCACTCGGGATTTTAGACCTAAATTTGCGGAATTCGTTGAATATTCTGAAAATTTCGTTTCATACGTCATATTTTTCAAATACTGAATTGTGTTTTTATCTACTTGCAGTCGTGGGAAACGGAGTGGTCCGTTGAAGCGAAAATCGTCTGCTCGAATGCCTCTCGGAGTGTCTCACTTGAAAGTTCCTGCGTTGACGATTGATTCAAAGCCTGGTACAAGTCATTCAGCCCCCATGCATCCTGGAATGGTGCGTTTTTTGAAGCAGCAAGAAGAAAATACCTGCCGAGATTATCGAAATACTGTAGATCTGTATTCCCCCCCATTATGAAAGCTATTGTGAAAAGTTCTGAAAGAAGTTCCAACTCGTCCATTCCCGAACACCCAAAAAAAAAAACTGTCAAGTACTCCAGGGAATTCGAGAGAAAAAATTGATTGAGTTGCAACCCCGAGGACACTTCTGCAAATATTTATGAAAATTGTTTTAAAAGATGGACCGAAAATTTCATGAATGTATTTACCTGACGTCTGATTACGAGGAATTCCAAGTGGAAGTATCCTGCTTTTTTGTCTCAATTGTTTAATGACTTCATGAATTCTAAGAGACCTGATTCAAACAGAAAAAAAAATCTAGGGATGAGCAGTTTCTTTTTACGAATTCTTGCCCAATTTTACGAATGTAATCATGTGGTGGCTGCAAAAACGTTAAGGAATTAAAAAAAAATGGATTCCTAATCCTCCATGTTCTAGGTTACTGAAGACCACTCTCAGAACCTGAATCCCTCTGCTGAAGAACACCTTTCCTGTTACCCTCCGGACATAAAGCCTTGTAAAATCGAAGAGAATCACACGGGTCATATACCGGAGATGCCAGGGGCCAGCAGCAAAAATCCATTTCGTAAGAATTTCATTGAAGAAAGATTAGCATTTTACAATATACTGTATCGCTGGTTTTCTCCCGTATGAATTTAGCCATGAATTTTCCGGAGTACCTCTCGGAATGCTATGATCCAGAGGAAATGGCGAGGCAATGTGCTACAGAGGCAGGAGTTATTGGCGTTGCCGCCAATCCAGAAGCATGCAGCAGGTGTGGGACAGAAATGAGGTGGAGCCAGAGGAAGAATCGGAAAGGCATTTTTTATCCCACGTGGAAATGCCCGAAAACCGGATGTGGGGCTCACAAGAGCGTCCGGAAAACTAGTTGAATTATTATTATTTTTTAATCAAACAGGAACTCCGGGCTTTTGGTTATTGCAACTCTCTGGAGCCGATACCTGTATACATCTTGGGCACTAAGTATTTCCCCCCAAGTAATTGGTGAACTTGCGGGGAAAATTATCCCATTCGTCGAGTGATTGGTTCCGAAGTAATCATTAAAATTATGGGAAGAGCATTCCCACCCAGTGACAGATTTGATGAAGATTTTTTCTCAAATCACGGTATTCAAAACACTCGAACAGAGTACAACCAAACCTGATTGATGAAGCTTTTGTTTCAATTTTTTTTTGCGTCACCATTTTTTTCTGAGGTTTGCTTCGAAAAAAAATATATACTACGGTGTTCATCTTTTGATGAGATGCGCTGGAGTGCTTGGAAATGTTAGCGTTTAGTAGATGTTATGGAATCTTTTTTCCTCTTCATCCACTCTTTCCCATCTCGTCATATTTCTGAACTGAATTTTGTGCTCTCCCGGGTCCCAAAGAAATGTTCCAAAAAAAAAAACAGCTGTGTCTTTCACAGAAACCAGCTTGAGGTTCTATCTTGTCTGCTGTGTGAGTGTACGAGACTCTTTGTGATCGATTTTTACATCACATCACGCTAGCGAACCTTGAATGCGTGGTACACGAGTAAATACGGTATTTCAAAACACTTTCTTTTGTGTGAATGTATTTTGAAGTTTTTTTTTTAAGAAATCAGTTTTGTTAATAACGGTGATGATCCCTTTTTTTCCTAGTGTTGTGTTTTTTTTTCGCTGTTAGATTTGTGCGAAATGGAGGATTACGATTTGACGTGGTCGGAACACGGGGATGAGTCGTTCCGGGCGTTTATGGACCTTCGAGCTGGTTCAAGTCACGTGGACGTGCTTCTGTTTTGCGGGGATGACACGCTGGAGGCACATAAGGTCATCTTGGCGGCATGTTCGTCTTATTTTGAGCGACTGCTCAACGCTGTTGCCAATGATTATTCCCGGTATACGATTGTTGCTATGGCACAAGTGGATCCGTTTCTCCTGCGACTCGCCATCGACTTTATGTACAGGTGCTGTGTATTTAATACAAGTCGTGACTCGCGTACCGAAATTTGTTGGCGGAAGAATTGTAACAATTTTTGACTAATACTTCGGTTTCTAAATTGAGGAAAATGAGAGAGAAGGGTGTACTTCTGCCTCTTTTTTTCCTTCAACATTTGTGAGGTTCGGAAAGGTCAGAGAACAAGTTTATCAGGATTATTTGAATTTAATACTGTACTTACAAATTTTATATTTAAAACTTTATGCAAAAAACGAGAAGAAAGTTGTACTGATTTATCGTGGCTTCTTGGTGAGTGTCAGGAATCAATTTAATAATTTACGAAGCAACCCTAACGAAAATGGCGCCTCGCATTCCGAAAATTCCGCGTTACAAAATACACCGAGGAACGCACGTATTATTTTCGTCGTGCGGGGACCCAAAGTAATGACAACGTATCCTTTGCGGGTTGCACGGAATCGTACAAAAGTGGCAGAACTTGATCCGAAAACTATTGCATTTTTAGTCCTGCAAGCGTTAATTATTGCATAATTTTTCTTTCTGTAGTGGGAAAGTGACTGTGCCTTTTGACCGACTGGAAGAGTTCATGGCGTTGGCAGATTTGTTGGAGGTGCGGGGATTGAAGTCCAGCACGGAACATGCCCTATCCAGGTATTCAGCTTTTTTCGCGTCTCTTGGATGTTCCTGCCGCACTCCTAAATTAACTGAATCTGAAGATCGAAGAGATAAATGTGAAAGGAGTGATATTTATTTTTTAATTTTTTCTTGTTTGCAGTCTTGGGAAACGAATAACCTCGTTGAAGCGGAAAGCGACTGCGCAAGTGCCTGCGCCAGAATTGCATCCCAAAGTTCCTGCGCTGATGATAGATTCGAAGCCTGGTACAAGTCACTCAGATCTCGTCGATCCTGAAATGGTGCGATTTGCATGCAATTCTCGTTCTTCTCGTTTTGAGAAATAGTTTATTTACATACTATGATCACATTATTAATTTTTCCGGGTATTCCGTTGAAAATTAGAAATTTTCATAGGTTCTGCTGTTCCGAAAAAAAGAGATATCAGTCTCATCTTACATTTTGACTAGACGTCCTCGTGTAATATCTTCTAGTTTTTTTAATGGGTAAATTTTGGGATTATTGTACCTGCAGTAAGTGAAAAGTTCAACACTTTGCTGCAGTGGGTGGCCGATTGCAAAAACATTTGGCCAACTTTTTTGCATTTTTGTGAATTGAATAATTGGTCATGAATTTTGGACCGATGTACAAGCACTGTACTTCATTGGTTTGTCATAAGTGGCGAATTTCTTCGGGAATGGCTTTGAATAGATGATTATGTGTATACTGTGGGTGCTGCTTTGCATGCAATGCAGCTTTTTCTATTCCGAGACTCATCCTTTCTATTGATGCACTTTTTTTGTGTGCCGTGTACACCTCTGCATATTGATATAATTTCATGTTATTTGCGAACTCGACATGGCTGAATGGAGACGAAGAAAGAATGATGGAACGCTCGTGATGGGTCTACGATTACGCATTCTGCCGTTTCTTTACATGCTGAACCTTGCTGCTGGCACTGTTTATGATATGTGTGATACATCAAGGCCTAGAAATGTTGTGCACTGAAAAATATCGCTCCCGGAGGATAAGTCCCCAACGAAAAGAGACCCGTGAGAGAAGGTCCCGGGGACGGGGTAGAAAAGGGACCCGCGTCAAAAAGCCCCCAGGGGAACCGGGGCTGTGGGACCAGCAGGTCAGGGTGTGATGGTCAGTTGGTGCTGAAATGTGGAGCAAACAAGCTTCACATTTTCTAGAAATATTTTACTCCTAATATTTATTATATTATATAATATTTATTACAATTTTGAGTTCCTGCTACAGTGTTCGAAAAAAAAATCTGGCAATAACGTAAATAATATTTACAAAAATGAAATCTTCAGTCTATACTGGTGATTTTGCCTGCTGTAAATTTAAGCATTTTAAAACGCATATAAAATAGAACTGACCATCTTTCCCTCACCCATTGATCCCGTTGACCCGCTTACCCCCCGAGGACTTTTTTTCCCGGGTCCCTTTTCGTTGGGGGACCTTTTCTTACGGAGCCGAAAAAGGGGATCTAACGATTTTATCGTTGATTCGGTATTCCTTTGTTGTAGCCATGTTAGCGAAGGATCATCAAAGATCTTGTGATGTTTCTGGATCCACTTAATAAACTCGGGGGAAAATCATAGCTGGAATCTTAAATTTTTTTTTTTTGGGCCAGCCGCCTACTGCAGCAAAGCTGGATTAATGGTTCTTCACCCACTAGGGTTTCCATCAGCCACCTTCTGCCAAATTTGTCAGATTAATTATTGTATTCCCTGAAGCGGTTTTAGAAAGGAGTTTCTAACTTACTTCCTTATTTTTCTCAAATGAATTGAACAATAAAATCGTTTTACCCCATGTGTGTGTTACTTGAGATTTAAGCGGAATTCGAAAGTAAATCCTGTCGGTTATTATGCTAAGCCCTGAAAAACTATTCGCAGTGGAGAGTAGCTTTAGTCGGGACGTGAAGGGATTTTTCTACGTTAATGTCGCATCTTCCGTCTTAAAGGTTACTGAAGACCACTCTCAGAACATGGATTCCACTGCCATAGACCCACTACTCTTTTATACTGAAGATGTAAAGCCCTACGAAGACGAAGAAAATCTTTCACTTCACACACACGAGAGGTCAGGTGCCAGCAGCAACGATCAGTTTGGTAAGAAATTACAGTTTATGTTCCGCAACGTTTGTGTATATAGTCCTTCTTTTTCATCCGCTCTTTCAGCCATGCAGTTCGCTGGAGTTAGGAAAAAAGTCTCTTACGCGGAGAAAGTGGCGAGACAGTGTGCATATGAAGCAGGAGTCACGTTTGAAAACATTAAAGAACTGTGCAAGAGGTGTGACGTACAAATGAGGCCGGCCAGACGGAAGAATAAGAGAGGCGTTTTTCTTCCCTCCTGGAAATGCCCTAAATGTGGGGCCAACCGGCGATACCGGGGATTCGATTGATTCCGTAATTTTCAATTTACTTCAGCGCGAGAATAATTATTTGAATCCCGTCAGCATTGCCCTTGTGCTAACGAAGGGAAATTGAATATCCTTGACTGAATGCCAAAGCTTTTGATCCGCGATCAAAACGTGGCTTTCCAGTGTGAAACAATTGCAGTTGTATGAGGCCAAAATGGCGTGCATGGCAGCATCAGCAAAAAAAGTTACATGTGACTATTGTGACAAGTCATTCTGGAAGATATTGCCATGGTTTGTGTTCGAATAAACTGTTTTTGTTAATTTTGTCGTTTTCTGTGTTCACTTCACTCTCAAGGCTGTTTTAGAAGGTTCGCAGCGCAATTTTATTTGTTGGTGTTATCTTTTATGTGCCTTGTTTTCCCCGATTTTAATGCTTCGCGGTGCAGAAATAGCGATGCTCCTTTTTTTTTATCTGCTGAAATTCTTGACAATGAGCTTCTTTTTGCGATCTTTACAGGAAACTGGATGCGAGCTTCAAATCAAATTAGAACCAAGCAGCAGTAGCATGGATGATAGTATCGGTGCTGTTGAATCCGAGGAGTACGTCGAGGACGATTTCAGTGGGCTGAACGATGTTCATGGGAATATTCCTCCGGAATTCTTGAAGCAGGTGACAATTTCAATTTTGATGCCCCCGAATATCTCGTCTGCATTTTTGGGTGATCTTTCGAGCTTTCAGCCTTTTAGTTAGCGCGAGTTCACCTTTTTTATTTCATGAGAATTTTGGTCACGAAAATGGAGCTTGAAGAATCGTTCTGCGCGGAATTTGATTTCGTTTTTGAGAGAACATTTAAATTTTGTCCAGGGTTTAATTGGAAGGAAGGTCTGGCTATATTTTCATAGTCCGCTGTTTTTTTTTTTTTTGTGGTGCAAATATCGTTGATAATACCGTCAAAATGCGCAATAATAGAGTTTGAAAAATGGGGCCATTTTCCTGGATGATCAAAGGAAAACGGATCTTTTTGACTTCGAAGTACCCCTTAATTTGCATGAGTGAAAACTATTTAAACTTTTAAAGCATACTGTAACTGTTTGAGGAAGCGAGTTTCTGAAGTTTTGACTTTCCGGAATGTATTATGTTCTTCTCATGGAAGGTGATCGGGATTATTTTTTCCAGAACCTATCCGTAACACCAACCTACACAAAAAGGAGAAGATACGATGATTCGTACGTGTCGTATGGGTTTACCTTCATCAATGGTCCTGATGGCTTGCAAAAACCCCAGTGCTTTTTATGCGGGAGTATTCTTGCCAATGGAAGTTTGCAACCGTCAAAGCTGAAGAGACATCTTAGCGCCATGCACCCTGAAAATGTTTTTGATTCGCTAGAAATTTTCCAGGAAAAGAAAGCGAGATTTGAAAAGTACGGAGCATTAGAATTTGTGTCTTGCTCGGAATCGTCTACTTGAAGCTGCGGAAATACAAGAAAGGAGCTTGAAAATTGAAGATGGCACATTGATGCAACCATGTGCTGTGAGATTTTTCCTTCGTGGTTGGCCCTAGATGGGCCACATATTGAAGAACGAGATTGAGAAGATTTTTTTTTTCGTTCAGAACGCTGTTTCTGCACGCGATGTTTTGATGAACATCGGTATAGTAGATATTTGGATCATTCAGCCTCATTAATGTTTTAGAAATTTCCAGCTGTTGACTCTTGAAACCTATCTGAGTATGAGTAATACTGTATTTAGGCTTGCGAAACGCATTTTAGGTCGTAATAGATGATGGAAAAGATTCTTGCAGTTGAAGAGGGGAGTTTATCGAGTGCAGGAGTTAACTTTTTCCTGATTTTTATTTTGCCCAATTATCGATCGTCTCTCAGTTCGTCATCATCTTTGTCGATCGATATGTTTCGCCGAAACGGTGAATCGTTTCATTCGGTCGTGATTGAAGATTTTCGTTCTCGGTTATTTCAGGTTATATTGACTGTAAGGACATTTTCTTTCATGTATAATCACTCGTTTTACCCCCGCCTGAAATTTTAGAAAGCATTAAAATAAAAAAGACCGCTTTTCAATGCTTCGATTGATTTTAAATGCATAGTGTTCGGTATCATGCATAATTTAAAAATGATGTGACTTGAGAACCTAACTTTGTTATTTACTGCATTGATGATATTTCGCAAATGTTTCTGAGGCAATTTTTTGATACTGAATGTTCTTCTTGATTGTTGAAATTTGTTTTCACGTCGATCGATTGAGTTTTTGTACCGTCATGCTGTTTTATTTTTTTTCTGCGTGAGATTTGCGAAGTGTTTACTTGGCGCAAAATCGCTCCATTGCACTTCGTTTTCTTCGTGTCATAAGTCTGTGTACTTGATTTCATTGACGAGTATTTTCTTGTCTTGTCACAGAGGCCTGTGCTTGTGTCTCTGTTGTTGTTTACGGCTTGTTGGAGTCGCGCCATGGAGGATTACAATTTGACCTGGACCCAACACGGGGAAGAGTCGTTTCGGGCGTTCGTCGACCTACGAGCTGGGTCAAGTCACGTGGACGTGCTCCTGTTCTGTGGGGATGACACGCTGGAGGCGCATAAGGTCATCTTGGCGGCGTGTTCGTCTTATTTTGAGCGACTGCTCAACGCGGTGGCCAATGACTATTCACGATACACGATTGTGGCCCTGGCCCGAATGGACCCGTACCTTCTGCGACTCGCCGTCAACTTCATGTACAGGTTGGTTAACAGTTTCCGTGATGAAATTTGGCGTGGGGAATTGATGCTGATAAGAAACTGAATCTGCAAATGTTTTTTTTTCACCTGACCATTGGTCAACAGATATTCAGTGTGTCTCAATGACCTTTTCCCTGTGAAATGAGAGACACATGATGGGCGAGTGGCAAAAGAAAAACAAAAAAAAGTTAATTTTTGCACTCAGTGAAGATTTTTCAACTGCAAAAATTATGTCCTCACCTATGTTCGGCATTAACAGAACCCAACAAAAAAATGGATGATTAGGTCCTGTGAGTCAAATAAAATATGGCAATCAGCCAGTTTGCGGCCTAGGATATATTTTAGGAAACACCTTGTTTAAATGTTCCTATTTTTTTTAGAATGATTCATTGTGTAATTTTCCGGCAAAGAAATGCCATGATTCACAATGAACACAGAAAAACGCTACACAAGTAAATAGACGGAATTTGTGTGAAAATCCAATTTCAGATGTAAAATATTTAAAATGAAGGACGAATAAAGGATGAGTAATGATTTTTCACATTAATGCATGAAGTCTGCTTTTTATTGAAATTTAATTTTGAAGAGGAGGAAAAGCATTCACTGGGATTCTCTCAGTGCATTTTCTCCACATTTTCACCCATCTGCTGTAAAAATTGAGAGGGGATCTCTGAAAAGTACTGTATTTAAAAAATGCTTTGATGATGGCGTGCATAAAACTGCGCAAAAAAGTTACTCTGTGCTGAAAATAATTTGATTGTACTCCATAAAATAGGTGTGAGCCTCTAGTATTGTCTTTTCCCTATTTAGTGGGAAAGTGACAGTGCCTTGTGATCGGCTGGAGGAGTTCATGTCATTGGCAGATTTGTTGGAGGTTCGAGGATTGAAGGCCAATCCGGAACATGGCATTGCCAGGTACCGTATTTGTCAGTTTCTGCGCAACTTTCATAATTTTCACATTTTCACTCATCTAGTCCTAAATTAACGTCTAAATTATTCTCATCTTTTAAACTGGCAATTACATATGAGGATCATTCACTGCTGTCGAAAATCATTTTTCTCTTGTGAATGCCCATTTTAATTCACATAAATCTGTAAATTCTGGTGTCTTCTGCAGTTTTGGAAAACGGATGAATCCCATGAAGAGAAAAGCATCAGCACAAATGCTTTCAGGAGAATCTCATTCAAAAGTTCCTGCTGCAATGTCTGATTCCAAGCCTGGAACAAGCCAGTCAGATGTCATGGACCCTGAAATGGTGTGCTTTTGAATTGAATTTTCCAAAAGCTATTCCAGAGCTGGATTCTGATGCATAGAAAACCTTGGTTAGGTATAAGCAGAACCCAACAAAAGAATGGAATACAAAGGCATTGCAGTTTGGGACATGTATTCAAGGGGTCATCTTGAATACATGTTTTTAGTTTTTCCATACATTTTATTAAATGATTGAACATACTGTACAAGAAGTGATTCATGGAAGGAAAGCTGAAAACACAACACAGTGAATTACAGTACAACAAAATTTTGCCTAAATTCGAATGCTGCAATCAATAGCAAAAGATGAATAGGAATGACAAGTAGTGATGAGATTCCTCTAAAAATTTAAAATATTGAAAGACTGCTTGAAGCAACCTTATTATAAGACAACGGCACAACTTATATTCTTCCTGTCTGCATTTTCAAGAGAAGCGTTGTTTATTTTTATCCCGTCAAATTGTATTGTCCAAGCACCGTTATTGAATATATTGCTCCCAACGCATAATCGTTGATATAATATACATTAGTTGGATCTGGCTTATTGAAAGTACACTGATTTCATGTCTCCTTCCTGATTTAGTTAACAAATATCAGACTTTTATTGGATTTTCCGCAATGCTGTATCCAGAAAAGAGTCTGATGACGTATTCAAAATACTGAAATACTGTATTTTATTTTTACCTTCCTTTTCACAATGTTTTTCATCAGGATCCTGGATGTGAGCTAGAGATAAAAGAAGAACCCAATAGCAGTAGTATGGATGACGGTTTCGTTGCGGTCGAGTCAGAAGAGTATGTGGAAGACGATTTCGGTGGGCTGAGTGACGTGCCAGGAAACATTCCTCCGGCATTCTTGAAGCAGGTAAAGTTTCAAAAAATCCTTGTGATCTCAAATTTCTATAATTGTGAAACTGCGTTTCTTCCTTTTCTTTTTGTTTTGGTTTTTAAAAAGCTAATTAGGAAAGCAATTCCTTTTGAAGCGTTTTCTTCGAGCTCTGAAAATATTAAAACTGTCAATCGGAAGTCCTCGTGAGCTGTCATTTTTTGTTAGAATTGAGTTTTTTCTTGCATGGTTATGTGTTGCATGATTGAAGTATCCACAGCAGGCTTTGGAATCTCTCGAGAAAGCTGATTAGATAATGTAACTGATCTTTTATTTTCTCGTCCACCTTGAATAAATTGAAGTTGATTGAACATAGTCAAATGATGTCCAAGTCCCATACAGTAAAATCTCGTTACAATAAATTTTTAGCATGAAAAACTTTTTCTCAAGTCCCAACAAAAAATAAATGTTGTACATGTTTAATAAACCTTGTTATGACAAACTTTCCCGTTTGAGTCCAACAAACTTTTTGAGGAATGTTTGATGGATTCTCCAGGTGAAAATTTCCTGACTAAGGCAGGCAGTCTGAAATTTCTGACCTCAACTGTGACGGGACTGGTTCTTGTATCATAGATGGAATCTTTAATCAATGAAAAAGATGCTTTCAAGTTTTTCCACACATTATCAGCCCAGAATGAAGAAATCGGTGCAGCTGATGGAATGCGGGATCGAAGATAAATTTTTTCTGAAGGTCACTCAGTTTTTCAAACAATAATAAAAAATCTGAAAATGCTAATTGATACCGAACAGGTCTGATGTGAACATTAATTTTTGAAAATCTCTTTTAAAAATATTCAGTAGAGCACAGTACTGTATAACAAACTTTTTCTGAAGTCCTCAAAAGTTTGTTGTAATGAGATTTTATTGTAATGCTTTTGCCATTAGTGTTTCTAAAATTTGAAATTTTTGTGACAAAGATTTTTGAAATTATAGCTGATTATACGCATATTTTCCGTATTTTGCTGATGGAGAGGAAGCATTAGCTGTGATTGTCTTTGCTTATTTCAAATTCTGTTTCCAGAACTTACTCGTATCTGTCACATCTGCAAATACAAAAAGGAGGAAATATGATGATTCGTATGTGTCGTATGGGTTTACGTTCATGACTGAGCCTGATGGCACGCAAAAACCGCAGTGTTTCTTGTGCGGGACTGTTCTTGCCAACGGAAGCATGAAACCGGCGAAGCTGAAGAGACATTTGAGCGCCATGCACCCAGAAAATTTCTTCGACTCAATGGAAATCTTCCAGGAGAAGAAAGCAAGATTCGAAAAGAAGGGATCGTTTGTCTTGTCTTTTTCGGATTCTTGAAAATCAGAATCTGGATGCTGAAGAGGATATGAATGAAGCGCATCAATGAAATAACCGTGCGTGCTGTGAAATTCCTTGTAGAGGATTATTCTGGATAGGCAGGAAAAAACCAAAGGAAAGGACAGTTTCGAGATGAGATGACTTCTCTTGTTGTAAAGCAACTGATGATGAACCCTGGTTTGCTCAAGACATTCGGGGACAAGTCTGCATCACGCGTTGTTTGATGAACACCGGTGTGGAAGAAGCCACCCATTTGCTGCACAGAGATGAGCCTGATTCACATTCAAAGCGTGGCCCGCTTTTGGACTTGTTGTTCACACAATCTGCAAGAACTTGTCGTGAAAAAAAATATTTAGGCCATGTGAAGCCCTATTGTAGTAGTAGCCACTGGTGCTGGAAACGTGTCTTTCTATCGGCAAAGAAAAAAGTTTTTATCGTCTATTATTGTTTCATTCGTTTTTGGGCCTGCTGACGGTTTTTTTTTCAATTTTTATATTTCAATATCTGAAAATATTTTATTGGTATTTAATTTCAAAGAAAAGATCTCGCTATGAATCCAGAAATTCCGATTCTTGTACAGTCAAGCCTTGATAAAGCCCCGTTTGTGTTGGTTTAAAGTGGGTTGGTGTTTCATGTACTGTACAGTATAATAAAAAAGGCCAAAATAATGTGGAAATCCAGCTTGATAGGAAATGAAAGTATTGTTCTTGAAAACAAATAAAAATAATTCAGGGATGCGTAAATTAGATCTAGCTAATGTTCCAAAGCAGTAAATTACCTCAGAAACTTGTATCTTTTTGGCGGTCAATCAGAACAAAGTTATTTGGCAGGAGCATATTTGGGTTGTCAAAAATTTTTGCCGCATGGCGTTTTAACTGGGTTTGCAATGCTATTATCTTCAGGGCCAATGTGTTTTTCAAAATTAATTGGCGGTTGCCGAGGTTGGCATCTGAATGGGGTTTGACTGTACTGTACTTGACATAATTCGCATCAAACATCTTCGCAATGAAAAATGTGTGGTTTTTTTTTCGTATTTGAGATGCTCTTCAACAACTTTTTAAAATTTGTTATTTATAAACGTGATGTCTTGAGACTCGAAAGTTTTAAAAATTGGGTTCTGGCTGTCATCCAACTTAAAATTCAAGTTGAAGATGGAACCAATTTGCTGCTGGGTCAACATCGCTTGTCTTCAAATTTTCTTCACGACGACGTCACCAATTTGCAAGATGGAACTTGGAAAAACCTTGGGAGGGACAAAATTTTATCAATTTGTCATATTTTAATTATGACATCATGGACGACTGTCAGTAGTGTAATGGAGACGTGTGAAACCCAAGAGGAATTTGATTTTATTTTCCTTTACCTTTCTTTGAACTGACTCGTCTTTTTGTGTCAGTTATATATACTTGCTTATGAAAATATTTTTTCCAGTTGAATTGGATTGTCATTGTTGCGAAGAAGCGAAGTATGAATTGCTTATTCGCCATTACCTCGTGTTAGTTTTTTCTTATGCGTCTTCGTGTGTTTTATCAGTTTTAAAATGGAAGAAAAATTTGTTTTTTTCGTTAAAGGTTCTGCTGACCTTGTTTGGTGTGTCGTTTTCTTTTCTCTTTTTTTTCCGTGTTTTGCAGACCCAGTTTGTGCGGATCGGGACGCGGGCGTGGCACGGCAGACGGTCCGACGGAGTGGCGGGTTACTTTTGCGAGCAGTGTTTGTATTCGACGTGTCGTCGCGGTGACGTTTTGCGACACGAACGGTCCCACTTGAAGCCTCATCATCGTCGGTCGTCAGCGTCGCGCAATGCGACAGCGTCGTCTCATCACCAACAGCAGCAGCAGCGGCGTCTGGTGATGGGCGTCCCTCGCGGCGCCGCTGCTGCTGCTGCTGCATCCAATGACGATGACGGCGGGGCTGGTGGCGGCACTGCGGCGTCTTGGTCCGCCTTGCCCGGCGACGGCGGTGATGCCATGGGCGAAGATGGTCATCAATAGGTGGGTATATACGAGGGTTGTCCCACTTCCGCTTGGCCTTGGGTATTTCTGGAGTAATTACCGCTGTAAAAAAAAGTATATTATGCAGCCCATGAAATTGTAAGGTTCTGGGATTTTTATAATAAAAAAAAACGCAGAAGGTTCATACAATTTTGAGGTTGAAATAAAAATATCCCACGCAGAAACTAAGCCTTGAATGATGTTTTGGAAGAGGAAATAAATGAATTTTAACTGAACCCCTGCTCTTGGAAAAATGAAAATGCACTTAGGTTTTAATTTGTTGCAACAAAATGATCATTGAAAAAATTTCACGAGATGTAGGAAATTCCATGCTGATAACAACATAAAATTGTACTTTTTTTTGTCTGGCCTGAAAAAGTTTCAGCAGCTTGTTACATGGGTGGAGAACCCTCCCCAATACTGGAAAGTTTTCACTCGTCATCTTGCAGTAAATCTAAGATTTGTTGTAACCTTACAATTGCGTGGGTTACATCATATAATTTTTTTTTTATAAGAGTAGGCGAACTTCTTTTTTTTTTTTTTGCTATTCCCGTGCTATCTTTTTTCTCTTCTGCGGTTTCAGTACAGTATATGCATGGGTACATCGACATACGGACGATTCCACTGGAAGACACTTGAAACTTTAAAAAAAATCTTTCCCTGTCATCTGGACGAAGTCTAAAGATACGGAAACTTCTCAAACATTTCTGTAAAGGTTGAATTTCATTTTTCTAAATTTCTAAGTTTTGAACAACTTTAGCTATTTGTTTTCACAATAATTGAGAAAGAAATGATGCTCTTATTTAAATTTTTCAGCTCTTTGGTCGAAACTCGAGATTAGCAAAAAAAAAAAAGAAGAATCCGCCAACTTGTTTGAAAGCTGGGGCTCTCACATTTCTTGAAAAGATTGTTTTGGAAAGCTGTAAGTTTCGTAGAAAACAGTTTGAGTTTTGCTCCCGCGTGTTTCTTCTTACGTGAGTGTATGTTACGTTTTGTGATCATGAATTTTGGCACGCGTGTGTTTGAGTGTGATATTCGAGGTGTCTTTGCTAAGACATGCAATCTTTGTGAAGTTTTTACGAGTTCAGGAAACTGTTCCGATACGAAGATTTTATTGATATTGGTTTTTTTGAATTTTTTTGTTGCTGGTGGATTATCCAAGTTGGTCAGTTTTCTCCTTGCGCGTGTTTCGTTTTGCTGTGTCACTGGTGGTTCTGTTTCACTCTGTTGAGTATCTGGAAAGTTAATAAATATTTTTGTTTCCAACTGCGTGAAGGTTTGTTATTTATTTGAGGTGTAATGTGCCAAATACCGTGTTTACATGAAAATCCGCACCTTTTTCATAAAAAATTAAGCTAAAAAAGAAGTTTGTGTCATGCTTCAATAAACTATTTTTNGTTCTGTTTCACTCTGTTGAGTATCTGGAAAGTTAATAAATATTTTTGTTTCCAACTGCGTGAAGGTTTGTTATTTATTTGAGGTGTAATGTGCCAAATACCGTGTTTACATGAAAATCCGCACCTTTTTCATAAAAAATTAAGCTAAAAAAGAAGTTTGTGTCATGCTTCAATAAACTATTTTTTGCTATTTCTAGTTATATGATGTTCATCATACTTTGAACACACCCAGTTAAGTCCAAGAAATATTTTCTACAGACTTTAATGCGTAAAAATGTTGATCAGACTCACCACTATTGAAACAATCTTCAAAGGTTAAGTTACATGCAGAGGACTTCATAAATATTTTGGCTTCTATAATATTACTTGTATTCTATATATTAGCTATGTCGAAAGTGTTTTTCTCATCGGGAGAGGTTACGAAGAAGCTATGTAATGAAGGTAAAATTTATCAATTATTTGAACAGGATCAATTATATACTGTACATACAATTTTTGAAGGAATTCATAAATCGAAAGAAAAGACGGATTTCTCGGATACATTTTTACCTTGCCATTAAGAAGTGTCCATGCAGATCTCAACCTGAGGGACTTCAAAAAAATTTCAACAGATCCAAGTGAAAAATCAACGTGGATGGTTGTGCAGCGACATCTATGAAGAAGGAACAACGAATAGCTTTCATTGTTACTAATCTGATCGCTCGGACCGCTGCCATCCACAAATACACTTTTGTATAGTTAAGCGTTAACTCTTTTGCATAAGATGCACTTGTTGCAAAAATTCTACCCGTCAGCATTACAATATCACAACAGAATAATGCTCGCTAATTTTTTTCAAGTTTTATGCAGTATGTTTTGCGATATCGAAGAATTTCCTATGTAGCAAGTTTTTTTGATAGTTGAGTATATAACCCTAAATTTCCAGCTTAATATCACAACAGAATAATGCTCGCTAATTTTTTTCAAGTTTTATGCAGTATGTTTTGCGATATCGAAGAATTTCCTATGTAGCAAGTTTTTTTGATAGTTGAGTATATAACCCTGAATTTCCAGCTCACACCAAGTGTGTTGAATGAAAGGAGAGATAGTTGGCACTCCCCATGATAAGGACGGAAGGACTCCGGTCCAAACACACATGGGGCGGGTGGCACAACCGCGGCAGCGGCGCCCGCCTCTCCAGTTTTTTTTTTTTTTTTTTTTTTTACAGCAAATCCTTTTCTTTTGCATACACTTTTCAGGTTGCTCAAAAGTTGCACTTTGCGTTTCTCAAAAAAAGCAATTGTCCAAGTTCTACAGGAGATAAGCTCTGTGGCTTGGTTTTAATGACTTCATATATGGAGCGCATCACAATGGACAGTTGTGGAATTAGCTGCACTGCTTATTACGATACTTGTGCTCTCGATAAGTGTTTCATAAATCTGACAGACTTTCGTCAGATGCGTGAAACGGATATTTACAGGCTAAGTAACACTTTTATCGAGCCATTGGTTCGATATCGTAGAAAGATTTTTACAAGACAATGACCCATATTCACAGACACAGCAGTTTTAAAGAACAAAAAATCTTCTACGACATTTATCAAAATCATATACTGTAGCAGGTTTTTGTTGTTGTTCAGAATGTCAAGTCCCTGATTTTTACTTAAAACGGATGGAGGTTGGTTTAGCTCTTCAATCAATAAGTTTCCTCATCAAGAAATCGAGCATCAATCTCCAACTCATGATTTCCTTTTTGCTGCATGACCAAGAACACGAATGCATTTCTCCAGCTAACTATCAAAAGCAGTGACAAAAACATGCAGAGAAAATCTTGTGAAATTCCAAAATTTTTAGCTTATTTACTGTGCATTTTTATGCTCAGCATTTGCATATTTCTTCAAATTTCTGCGCATGAAGAAGGTATGGATGAAGCCTTGGAACCAGCAAGGACTATACTGTGAAAAAAAGACACAAAAAAATAAGAAATACTATCATAAATTCCAAAAACAGTGACTGGACTGCATCAGACAGCAAAGTTTGAAAAGTTAACCAACACTGACCTCATGACATGAGTTTACGAAAATACATAGTTTCTGTATCCTATGAATACTCTAATTCCATAATCATACAGTTAAAAGTCACACTTGAAAGGGGGTGAAAAAAATTCACTTGGAGATTTTTTGTTTGACAAATTTGGCTTAATTTTGGTAGGTTGAAAAATGATCAACATTTTCTACTGGCAAAATTATTATAAGTGCTCATCATTCATTTGCTGTGCCCTAAAAAAATGATATGTTCAATATCTTGTGGATCAAAGGAAAGGATTTTGATATATTTTTCTCAGTTTTTCTGCAAAATAAGCTAACAAATTTAACCCCAATCAACAATAAGCCTTGCATGATATAACACGTTCTTAGTCAAATATGTAGAAATTGCCTTAGATCCAAGCTAGGGATTTATGGTCATCTGAATTATAAAGGTTTTCAACTCAGGGAGGTTCAAATTGGCAAAATAAAGTATACCAAGCTCAAAAATCTTACTGAATTTTGTTTTACTGAATTTTTGTATTGACAGAGGGAGAAGTAGACCTTTGCTCATCCATCCCAACATTAAGCCACTTATTATACTGTGAGTTTTTGGTGCCAGAATACAAGATGTTCTTCAAACTGGCACCATTGAAAGTGGAGCATTTGCGCTTTGAACCTCCAATCCTGCTGTACCACGATTTCTTGCTTCCAGGGGAGAAAGAAAGTGTCAAGAATAAGAGCATGAACAGGGTTAGTATTTGTTTGTACTGTATATATTTTGGGTTTGTAAATACTGTATGGCCTTAATCAGGCGAAATGATGCATATATTATTTATTGGCCTAATTATTAGGTTTAAATTTCATTGATGGACTAACATTGTATTTGAATGAAAACAGTTTTTGACTTTGGGTGGTGGGACTCATGGAGATTTTCAGCATTACCAAAACTATGTCAGAAAAGGTCCAATCGACTTACAAATTAATCACACAGGTTTACTGCATGTAATGTATTTAAATTTTATGGAAAATGTGAATAAATACCAGCTAAACCCAGGGTGGGTTTAAAGTTTTGAAATGCCCTCAAATTATTAATTTGTATCCCTTGAATTATTTATTCTGAATATACCAGTAACTTGAAAGATTGAGACTTTGCCAGAGGCATAGTAGAATATACATTCAAATATAAGGATTTTTTGTCAACATCTTTTAAAGAATGATGATTTTCACATTACAGTAGATATATACAGTTGAACCTTGATAAGTTGAACCGCCCTATAAGTCAAATATCTCCCTAAGTCAATTTTTTCATGTCCTCATCTGAATTCCCTTAAAAACAATATTGAAAACCTTCCTAACATGAAGTTTTTTTCTCTGAAACCTCTGTAAACTGAATTTTCTGTAACAGCCTTTTGGCCATTATTTTCTGAATGCATGAAAGAAAAAAGCAATAAAACAAGTTATTCAATGAGTTTTAAAAGGAAGTGACAGAGTAATTTATAAAATTAACCCTTGCCTCCAAGTTCAGCATGCAATGCTTTAAATTCATTAAATAGGTAATTCCCAAGGCCCAGAATATACAGTATCACCATTTACAATTTCCTGCAATTCTTTTATGTTTCCTTAAAAATGCTTTTTCCCCCAAATAGAAACCTCCCAAATTGAAACCTCCCTATAGGTCAAAACCTCCCTAAGTCACATTTTTTGCTGGTCCCTTGATATTTGACACAGATGAGGTTGAACAGTTTCAAGTAAAATCATGTTTTGTGCATCAAAATTTTTTCCTAGCAAAAACGAATTTTGGAGTTGATTTGCCTGGTTATACAATAATCCGCTACAAGGTTGAAATATAATATTGTTTTGTCTTGGCATCATTCAAGTGTGCAATTCCTGCAATATTGATGAAATTGCCATTATTTTTTTCAATTGCAGTTGGAACCAGCAGGCGTTTTAGATGGAGAAGCTCAAAAGAGAGGAGAATTGATACGTGTAATTGATACCAATGTAAGAATCACAAATATTACATGGTTTCACAGGAATGAACCCGCCTCAAATATCACTTCCCGGCTCTTGAAAAGAGCACAATTGGTAAATCAATGCAAAAATGGAAACGCGCAAAAAAGGGAAGAATTGGTGGGTCAAAATTATTAAATATTTTCTTAATTATTTGATGTACTGCATACAGTTCACTGGACTGAACACTGAAACGGTGTATGCCATTCAAATTGGCAAATACGGCGAAGGAGGCTTTTACGTTGCTCACCGGGATAATTTGTATGCACTTTCTTTCTCGCCTGGAAGCAAGAAATCGTGGTACAGCAGGATTGGAGGTTCAAAGCGCAAATGCTCCACTTTCAATGGTGCCAGTTTGAAGAACATCTTGTATTCTGGCACCAGAAACTCACAGTATAATAATTGGCTTAACGTTGGGATGGATGAGCAAAGGTCTACTTCTTCCTCTGTCAATACAAAAATTCAGTAAAACAAAATTCAGTAAGATTTTTGAGCTTGGTATACTTTGTATTGCCAATTTGAACCTCCCTGAGTTGAAAACCTTTATAATTCAGATGACCATAAATCCCTAGCTTGGATCTAAGGCAATTTCTACATATATGACTAAGAACGTGTTATATCATGCAAGGCTTATTGTTAATTGGGGTTAAATTTGTTAGCTTATTTTGCAGAAAAATATATCAAAATCCTTTCCTTTGATCCACAAGATATTGAACATATAATTTTTAGGGCACACCAAATAAACAATGAGCACTTATAATAATTTTGCCAGTAGAAAATGTTGATCATTTTTCAACCTACCAAAATTAAGCCAAATTTGTCAAACAAAAAATCTCCAAGTCATTTTTTTTCACCCC